TATATATATATTCTCTTTGTACATATTGTTTTCTTTGTAAACGTGCGTGTGTGTGGAAAGCTCCGGCTTTCTTGTAGCCTATTCAAGGAAACAAACAATAGAAACAGTAGAAGATCACGACGATGTTGCACCCTTGTAGTTGGCGCGATGACACATCCGTCGAGCGGTGCTGCCAGTGTGCGACGGTCTTCACCTTTTTTCGCCGACGGCATCACTGTCGGCACTGCGGAGGCGTCTTCTGCGGTGTGTGCTCGGGGCAGCGCCTGTGGCTGCGACCCTGGCCCGGTGCAGCCGCTCCTGCTGCCCCAGTCGCCTTTTCATCTCGTCCTGCAGGAGGCGAGAGCATCAGTGCAGCGAATAGTAAACGTGGTACTGGCAGTGGCGCTGGAGTGCGTGCACCTCTCGCATCCGCCGACACACACACTCCGGGGCAGGCCCACCCCAGCCCGTTTCCCTCAGATTCTTTAGGTAGTGGGGCTGCGAGCAGCGGCAGTCGAGCACCCTCAGCGGTCTCCGCAGCTACCGTTGTCACGCCAGCCTCGGTGACGCTGCACACAGCAGCAAGGGCTGAGGCGCGGCGGGAACCGTCGTCCTCGCCAACAGTAGACGCCATCCAGCTAAGCCCCGCGCAAGCAGCGTCTGCCCAAACAGGAGTGTCCGCCGCTGACGTGTCGCTGGGAGGGAGCCATGGAGATTCGAAATGCGACGGTGTGGCCACCATGGAGCACCACAGAACGGACGCAGACGCCGTGGAGGGCAGCTGCGGCAGCGCTGTTGGCCTCACCTCCTCGTCCACCGAGGCGGAGTCCCGCGCAGATGGTAGTCAGGCGCCGGCGCAAGACATGGACGAGGGCTCCCCGTCCCTTTCTCCGCCTGCCTCGACCTCCACGTTGCCGATCATGCCAACGCAGCCGACGCTGAGTGATGCTGCCGGTTGTGCGGCGAATGCGTCTGCTGCGGCCGCTGCGGCCACCAACTTCGCCAGCGCCGTGTTCAGCGGGGTGTCGGACAGTCGGCACGGCTCCGAGGCTCTCTTTACGCCGTGCACCTATGCCGTCTCGCCCACAGCTGTAGCAGGCGATGTGACGCCGCAGATATGGTCGACACCGCTCGCCGCGTCGGGACTCGAGTACCTTTCCTCTATCGCTCAGTGCTGGACGCGCGCGGCGCGCCCCAGTCCCGGCAGTGATGAGGCCACTTTAGAAAGCCTGCCACAAGATCGCTCTGACCTGCAGCCCGGCGTCGTGCACACAGACAACAATCCGCCTCCGCGCAGCGACGCTACAACTAGTACAAGTGGAATCAGTCACGCCGATGCGGTTGCCTATGCGAGCGCGAGCTACCACGTCGAAGTCGATCAGCGCAGCATTACGTGGTACCTGTGTCGCGTGTGCCGCGGCTGCTACAACGACCTGTCGGACACCATCCTGGCTGCCGACGAGCACGACCCTTTTTTATCTCAGCAGCAGCAGCAGCAAAGGCAGCGCCAACCACCGCACGATCCGTCCGCAGCGGATTCAGCAGCAGCCATCACGGTGCCGCCTCTCTGGCAGTACGTACGACTCAGCAGTTCCTCGCGCATCCGTCGCACACGATCCGACCGACACGTCCCGCAGCAGCATGAGCGTTATCACCAGCAGGTGCCGGAGAGTCGCTCTGTGACTGCCACAGCGCCGCCCTCGTCCCCCTCGACGTCGATGAAACTGCCGTTGTCGTCCACGTGGGCGCGCCTACACGCGTGCGTGTCGCTTCCGCCAAGTCCAGTCACACTCGCCGTGCAGCTCGCTACTGTTTCTGCCTCCACCGCAGCAGCAGCGACAGCAGCAGCAGAAGGGCCAAACGACAACGCCAGTGTGGTACCACCGCCTCCGCCGGTACTAAATCCACACGATCTGCTCCGCAGCCGCGACTCTCCCTCCATCATGCACGTCCAGCCGCTCGTGCAGCGCGTCACCACTGCTGCGCTGCGCGGACAACGCACGGCGCCACCGCTGTCGGGCGTGCCGGGTCTGCCAGCACGTCCGTACGGCCCCTCAACAGTCACCGCGGATGGCAGTCGATTCTCATCCCCGGCGAGTGCAGGGCATGCCTGCGATGTATCAGCCATGTCGGGGTCATCCGCGTCTCTTCAGCAGTTATCTCGACAGTCTACCGAGTTGGCTTCTCCCAGCCGGCCACCCCATCAACAGCGACCGCAGCAGCAGCAGCAGCAACGTATCACGCGTGCTGGCATTGTGACGCCGCCTCGCCGTCGTCTTATCAGCATCGGCAACTCCGCTGGACACGTGCGGCAGGCGGTCGCGATTGCACGGCGACGACGCCGCATTGCCGTCATTTTAATCGATGAGCGAGAGCCAGTGGAGGCGGACGGTGCTTTTTTCGGCGATCGCGCGGGGTTTGCGAGAGCGAGTCGGGACTGCAGCGCGAGTGGTGAACGTCGTGGAGCGCCGCCGCCGCAGCAGCAGCAGCAGCAGCCACAGCTGACGCCAGGAACAGACAACAGCAGTGCAGCGGGGGCAACGTCTCCGTATGGGTCACCGTTGTACACCAACACCGCCGCGGTCGGCTTCGACAACGTGAACGATAGCGAGGCGAAGCAGCGTCGACGTATGAATCCCTCAGCCCTCATTGCCACACACACCGGCGCCGCGCTGGCGGTTGCTGCAAACAGCCTACACACGCTGGGTGGGCAGTCTACGTTGACGGAAAGCCTCACCACGGAAGGAAGGGAAGCGCAGCGCAGCAACCGCAACGACGCAGCTCATTTGAAAGCAAGCGACGCGAGCCGCCGACTTCACCTTTCTATCGTCGTGGACCTGGAGGAGGACAACGAGGCCGCGTTGATACAGGGGCAGGAAAACGAAGTGCTGCGAGGCCTCCCCCCTGGAGACTGGCTCCTCCCTGCGCTGCCGCCTGAAGCGGCAGCGCCCGGCTCGAACCCACTTCACACCAATAACAATAGCCTCTGCACGACAGTTAGCGCAGCTGATCGTGTAAACGACACAGCCGCACTGAACGCGGCACCATCGAGGACTTCGCACGCACGTGAGTCGTTAAGCATTCTAACCGACCCGGCGTTGGCCACCCCAAGCCGTCCCATCGCCTGCGCAGGCGGCAGCACCACGGACGATGGTGCTGGAGCTGCTGCTACCCCAAAGCACACGTCGTTCTCGGCCGCCACGACAGCCGCGTCTCACGATCACGTCTCATCTGCCGCCGTTGTGTTGCCGGAGAGCGGGGCGTGCGTCCTGAACGCGTTGTTCCGTGAACTGGGCGCCGTCACGCACCCCTACACGACGCCCGTAACGCCCGTCCTCAACGCCCCTACCCCCACATTCTCAGCAGCGGCGGCAGCATCGGGAACCTGTCTCTTCTCACCTCTCAGCAGCAACGGTGCTTCCAAAACGTTCTTTATGGACCCGATGCTCACCGGGGTCGTCCCGCAAGCTGGCTGGGGCACCGGTCCGCGCTCGTACGCAGCGCAGCGTCAAGCGCTCGTGCGGGATATGCTTCTGCGGCAGCAGCGCGCTATAGCAGCGGCGGCGGCGGCTAGCAACGCGACCACGTCCGGCGTGCCGCCCTCTGCCGGTACTCACACGTGGAGTAACGCCTCGATGGGGAACGTGTTGACCTCGGGCAGCACCTTCAGTGCGGCGGCCGCCACGCCGCGGGTGGGCGGTCTGCCGACGACACCCCCGCACGAACGCGTGACGGCGCCAGTGAACGTTTTCTTTCAGCTTCGCTCGCCTACGGAAGATGCCGTGTTCATGCCGACCGCAGCCTCAACAGCAGCTGCTGCAACGTCAGCATCCACCACACCACCGTTGTCGATCAGCATTCTTCCAGTCACGACGCAAATCGAGATGATCGGCATCCCAATCGATGTCTCCGCGACGTCTCCTCACCCCGCTCTGAAAACGGTGCCAACGTCTGCGAGCAACTTCGCCGCATCGCGCAACATCCCGGCGGGCGGCAGCAGCGCCGCCGCCTTTTCCAATAGCCAGGGAGTCGCCGGTGCAACGCGCCCCTTCACCTTTTCCGAATTCCTTCCACAGCTCGCGAAGCTGAGCACCAATTTAGACGGCTACTTAGTCGTTGTGCTGCGGTGTGGCAGTCGGGGCGGCAGCGGGGCCGCCACCAGTGCCTCGCCGACGCTGAACGCCACCGCGATGGACGATATCGCGCAGTTCAGCGCCAACCGTCGCGCGCGGCGCGGCTCGATGAGCGGGGCGCTGCCGTCAGAGATGACCGGGCTGTCCTTGTTCCCTGCCCTGTCTTGTGAAGGCGACGCGCATGCCAACAGTGGACGGCTGGGAGAGGAGAGCAGCGTCAACTCGGGCTCCGCCTCCTACACCTTCGGCAACCCTAACAGCCCGATAGCCCCTTCTGTCGCAACAACGACAGCGACAACTGCCAGGGGGCGTCCTCACGAAAAGAGTGTCAACGCCCGCGAGCCGAGTTGCGGTTGCCGTCGCGCACGCGTCGCGGATCCGTTTGGTGGCCCACCGCTGCGTCTTCTCTATCAACAACTGCAAAGCTGCGGCGTCACGCAGCCGGCACTCAGCGTGGTCGACGTGTGCGAGGACCTGACTTTCAACGATGTGGAGCAGTCGCCGGGATCGGCCTTCAGTTGCGGCAGCCCTGTCCGCGAATGCATCGGGTTTCCGCACGACACCTTCATGAACAGCAACGTTAACAACACAAGTTTGCTGAACAAATCAGTCGCCACAGCAGCAGCAGCAACAACGACGTCTCCCGTTGACACTTCGCAGGAGTCGCCGTCGTCGCCGCTGAGCGCTGTCTTTCCGGTCTCCTCCTCATCCGCCTTTCTGCTGGTGCCGGCGCTACAACGAGCGGTGGCGTTGGTGGGCGACAGCACCAGCAAGCCGGAGCGCGGCGAGCAGCCTGATAAATTCATGCTACCCTGTTCTCTGCAGGACACACGCGAGCGACACGGGTCTGCCGACTTTACACCTCCCACCATCACACGTAACAGCAGAAATACATACAACGACAGTGCGAACAAGCACGAGCTACGCCGCCTTGCAGCGCAAGAGCACGCGATGAGCTCCTTACGCACCGCGGCGCATCAGCTGGGACTGCCGTACTCCAGTATGGTCTACCCAACACGTGGTGGGACGGCAGCGCAGAGCACTGGCACTGGCGGTGGCGATGGAAGCGGCTTCCCTGCGGAGCCACCGCTCCGTAGCAGTCGTGTCCCAGGGGTAGCGGCAGCGGGAGAGAAAAGCTCATGCAGTAGCTGTGGTGGTAATTGTAGCGGTAGCATCAACAGCTCCGCTGTCGGCAACGCGCTGCTGTCGCGTGGGCTGGAGTCGCTGATGGCGACGATGGTGCACCGTGACCTGACGGCGCAGCAGTAGTATATATATTTATAGTAGCGAAGAGTACACGTAAGCATTGTCGTGTACCTCATTTTCTCTTCTCTTGTTGTGTTGGTCGTTGAGCGTTTGGGAGGTCTCCGTTGTTCACGTAGCGAACATGCTTTGAGGGCCCTTTTTCCCCTCTCCTTTTTTTTTCCCTCATGTGTAGTGTCGGTAGGGCAGTGAGCCGTCAGAACAGGTGAGAATACTCTTGTTTTTTCCTGTCCTTTTTTGGAGGTGGCTCGGTTACTCCTCTTGCACTGATGTATGATTGTTTGTGTGTTCAACTAGTGCCCTGTCTGGGCGTAGAGCAGTAGCGCTTAACCTTTTTCGTTTTCTCTTCCGTGTTTGCGTGTCTGAACGCTTCTCTTCAACGTGCCGTCGCCTTTTTGTCCCTCTTCATTCTTCACGGATGCGTAGGCAAAGGCGCGATGTTTTTTGTTTTGTTTTTGGAGGGGCTGCCGTTGCTGATGTTGATGATTTACTCGTTTCTTCTCTCCGTTTTACATTGCCGCACGCATGCAACAACAAAAACGCCTTATATACATCTTTATGCATGTATAGATAAATAGTTGTCTTTTCTTGTTTGCTTGTTTAGAGGGAGCGGCGTCGCGTGCAGAGGTCACAACGGATGCGTAATGGTAAAACGTGCAATGCACTGAAATTGTGGTGGCGGGTTGTGTTGCTGCGTGTGTACGCGTGTGTGGGTGTCACCCACCGCGCGGAGATCGATGTTTCCCTACTCTTTTTCATTGGTATGACTCTTCGACAAAACCGCAGAGCTAAAGAAAAGAAACATACGTGGCATTCTTTACATATACATACATACTTGTATGTATTGCCACGGAACGCACCTGCTCGCGTGTGTTTGCCTCGCTCAGTCTGTAAGTTATGTGCGGTGGAGCTGCGCACAGCAGGTGCGTTCCCCTTTCGGGGAAACGACTCCCATCAAACAGCACATCGAAAGCGGTACGTCACGCAGCGCTTCTCTTCGCATCATCTTTTTTTTTCTTTTTCTCTCCCATTGTGTGTCGACTTTTTTTTCTGGTAGTGCGTCACTCCATGTCTTCGTTGGCAGTGGGTGCTACGTTGAACTATTCTGCTTTCTCCCTTTCCTCTCTGTGATCTGGCTATCATCACCAGCAGCCGTCCACGCAAGAGACTACGGGCAGGTTCTGGCAAAGCAAACTCAAAGAGAAGACAAACACGAAGTAGCTATTACAGGCGCTCCCGGATGGTTACTGCACATTTGGCTTTTCAGTGAATCGCTCAAGTGAGAACCCACACAAAAAGGACTTACTGCTTCGGTACGGAGAGTGGAAGCTAACACACGACGATTTAACGCTGCAGCTCTGAAACATCAAAAAAGAAAAAGAGCGCAGTGGAGAAGAGGAGGGCTGCAGGTGCAATGTGGCGTACACCAGCGTATCGTAGCGTGCTCGGGCACCTCTTCCTCGAGTCTGTCGTGCAGAGAGGCGGCTCAAGCGCTATCACTCGTGCATCAGCCACAGATGTCTGCGCAACATCAAAGCGCGCCTACGTCGCAAACGGAAGCACCGCCACTTCCTCCTCTTCACCCGGTCCCACACGCGGCGCCGGCAACGACTACTACAACCAGTCCAAGGAAGATGAAGAAGATAAGGTGCTCGAGGAGGAGGAGTTCGCCGCACTGCGCGACGCGGCCGGGGACGAGTTTATGCCCCTCACCCACCGACTGGCGCACAAAGCAGACGCCCTCGACGCCGACCTGCGCCGCCTTCGCTACGTCCTTTGCGATCGGCCGCAGTTTCTGGCGGACACGGTCCCTGCTACCTTTTCTGGGCGTCCCACGCACATGAAGCGGGTGCTCGACCTTCTTCGGAAGGACGCCGCCGGCGACGCGGAGCAGCGCACGTCCGCCGCTTCGCGCGGCATCAAGGCAGCGTTTTCTTCGTCCTCCTTAAGCGCAAACGTCGAATCCGCCCTCCGGGCGTCAGCGTACATCTCCTGGACAGGTACCTCTGCGCCTGTCGTGCGATGGCTGTGCTTGCGCTTGTTGTGGCCGCGGTCGAAGTCCGGCGCGTCCGCCGCGCACGGCACGGAGCTGGTGACCGTGCAGGGTGATCTCGACTACCTGCGACGTGTGCGCGCTCTTCATCAGTTAAACTACTACAGTCGTCTAAATCTTACCCCGAAGCGTCATATTGGGCACGCACTCTACCAAATCATGTGGAACTTCGTGATTGCGGCGCAGAACGCGTGTGGCTGCGTAGTGTACGGTGTCCTACGTGGGGTGAAGGAGCATGGCATGCTGAAAGGGATCTGCACCGGTGTGCTGTCTGGAGTGGTGAAAGGGCTCGCCTTCTTGAGCTACGGCTGGGTGCTGTCGCCCGTCCTCCACCTCTCCCGTGGCCTGTCCAACTCCTTCTACGGTCCGCTAAATGCGCTCTCCGGGAGGTACGTGTTTGACGCCACGAGCGGACGGTGGATGCGCTGCACTGTGGCCGACAGCTGTCTTTTCCGCCACGAGCTGCAGCGCGAGAAACGTGTCCTGCGCACCATCGGCCGCGCTGAGTTCCGCCGCAAGCGCATGAAGGCAGAGAGCAAGTGGGCGAATCGGATGGCTTCCATGGGCTTCAGCGTGGAGATGCTGGCGGAGAAGTTCATGCCCGGCAAGAAAGACTGCAGCGGTGGCGGTGCCGAGGAGAAGCTCCGCAACCCCTACGATGTTTTGCAGGTGCGTCGCACCGCCTCCCCGCAGGAGATCAAGAAGCAGTACAAGAAGCTGGCGATGGTCTTCCACCCGGATGTGGCGCAGGGCCGGCTAGGGCGAGCGTCGTCCGCGGAGGAGAAAGCCGCTGCGCAACGCAACTTCGAAGAAATCTCGAGCGCCTATCAAATCCTGTCGAACCCGGAGAAGCGGAAGGCATACGACATGGGCGGTGCGCAGGGGGTGCATTTGCACGAAACGAAGTACGGCAAGTTCATGTCGCGGACACCGGAGGAGATGGTCCAGAGCGTCTTCGGCGGGGAGGGCTTCCGTCGGATGCTCGTCGGCGAGCTGCTCCGCTCGCATTGGGCGCTGCGGTACGAGGCGCAGGTGAGCGTGTCGCTGCACGAGCTGGAGGAACTGCAGTCCATTCGTGTTCGACAGCTCGCGATGGAACTCGCCGCGATGGCCGACGTGCACGCGCGGCGGCCGGCCTCTCCGTACTACAAAGGCACTGCTGCCACTGCCGCTGGAGCTGGTAGCAGCAGTAGTATGCCCCCGCCACACCGACGAAGCGCCTCCTTGCACGGCAGTGCCAGCAGCAGCCTCCCAGATTACTTAAAGAGCGGGAAAGCAAAGGTCAGAGGCGGTGGCGCCGCGGCTGGCCATCGCGAACGTCACGCTGTCGCCGCTGGGGCAGAAGGCCGAGGAATGGAGAAGGAGATGCATAACTCCATAATGGAGGAGCTCGGCGCCGGTCGTGAGGGTGCCTCTTCGTCCTCTGCCGCTCCTAGCTTCAGCGGGAAGAAGAGTAATGCAGCTGGTGCTGCCACCTCAGCGGAGGCCACCCCAGCTGATCCGTCGGTGGCTTCGCCCTTTCGTCTTCGACCAGGCAGCAATGCGTACAACTGCTTCTCGCAAGACTTCGAGGATCGGTGCGACCGGTTTGTGCGCCACATGGCGGACGCGTGCTTTGGCAAGCAACTCCTCTACGAGGTCGGGGAGGCGTACGTGGTGAACGCGCAGCGCTTCCTCGGTATTCGACCTTTCTACTCCTCGAAGGCGCTCGTGACGCGGAAGGTTTTCTCCGGCATGGATCGCGTCTTTGAAGCCTTCAAGGATAAGACGAAGTTGGACAAACAACAGGTGGCGCGTAAGGTGGTGGCGGAGTACTTCAACATGGAGTACGACTCCGTCGTCGCGGATATTCATCTGGCGCTTCGCTATGCGCTTCAGATGGTGTTGCAAGACTCTGTTGAGTCGGAGGAAGTGCGGCGGAAGCGGTGTTATGCTGTGTGGATGCTCGGCGAGAAGATGATGACGGTCGGCGAGAAGTGGACCTCGCGTCTTTCGAAGGACGAGGACCTGGCTACGTACATTCAGCAGGCCGCGAACTCCGTCGCAACAACAAGCAAACCTCCCGCATTTTAGCGCCTTCGAGAGGTGTGTGTGTGTGTGGTGGGGGGGGGGGGTTCGGGAGCAACACGGCAATTCACCTTGTTTGTGGAGGCGATAAGGCGTCTACATCACTATTTGGTTTCATTATCTCTTTTTGTTCCACGGCTGGTGGTGGTTGTGTTGCGGTCTTTTCTGTTGTATTCACACGTCTTCGGTAATTGCTACTTACATTGATTATGGTGGAAGAAATGTGCACCCACGCAACATGGCACGCCATACGTGTTGAGTAGAAGTATCGTGTTGGCTGCGAAGGATTTCATTTACGGCCGCGCGTTGCCGCCTCTTTGCGGAGTTGAGTTGTGGTCTCTTTCTGCATCGAACCCAGTCCCTCCCCCCTTTTTTTTCTTCTCGCTCAGTGTGCCGGCCATCTATGACGAAAAGTTGTAGCGGGGAAACGAGAAGTGTAATGGGCATCGTTTCGCATGAGAACTCCTTCTTTTCCTTTTGCTCGTCCCTCTGCCTCTCTTCCACACACCCGCACCATCTTCTTCCTCTTCTTTATCCTTCGCCTATGCCGCCACGTTTTCCATCCGCTCTCCGACTCACTCGCCGGATTCCACGAGCAGCATTTCCTTTTCCCGCTATTTAGTACTGCTTCCGTAAATAAATAGAAAAGAATCGTACACATTTCTTTTTAATGTTATGATTACTAGTGTGGTCTTTTGTCTCCGACCGCCTCCAACCTTTTCTGTCTAGTGTGGTTTGGTTCGCTGCGCTACCAATACTGCACGTCTGTGTGTCTCCACATTTGTTTCTAACTCTTTTTATTTATCTGTTTTCTGCCGGCGCACGTTTCCTGCTGCAGTATTTCTCGCGGTGTACATGTTTGTGGAGGTGTTGCTGCGAGGCGACGTCTTTTCCTGTCGCCTTCTCGCGTGATTGACGGTTGTGTAGGAGGGCGGGGTGCGGTGAAAGATACGGAAAAGAGGAGCAAAACCCTTTACCGTTTGCGCCTGACTTTTGTGCCTGCTACGTCTGCTATGCCCCTTATTTGGGCCCGTCGCTGAGTTTTTTGTTGTCACTTTATACACACACACAAACTCCCGAGAGCGAGTGATGTATTAGACTGCTTTCTTTCTTTTTACTTCCAACGCCATTGTTCATTGTTTTGTATTTCACAGCTCTTTCAGTGGCATTGCTTTTTCTTCCTCTTCCTTTCTCTGTCAAGGGATCTGCTGCAAATAAACACGCCTCTGGGACAGCGGCTTTTTTGGCGTTCGATTTGTGTCTCCACCATTCAGAAAAGCGACAGTTTTTGTTGTATTAATCAGATCAATTCCTGTTGCCCGTTGACGTCTGTCTCTCCTGTAAGAATTGTGTTGGCACTTTGCCGGCCAACTCACCGATCATGTCCGACTCCGACTGGGAGGTGCTGTCCACCGACGGCGACGGGCAACTCAGCTCTCAGCAGTCTTCACTCAACGCGACAGAGGCGGTCGCGGCGGAGCACGCTGCGGACGTCAGCGGTTCCGCGGCAGTGTGGCAGTCTTCGCACGCGCCCCCGACGGTGGACCGGCGCACCGTCCTCACGCCACTGTGTCTGTCGACGAATCAAACCGGCACGCGCCTCGGCGTGGGACATACAAAAGGCTTCCTTGTTTTCCGTTTAGCTGCAGCCAAGACAGATGCTTCCACAGCAGCAGCACAAGAGTCTTCGCTGCCCGCGCAGAGCCAGCTCATTTTGGACCCGCAGTACAACGTGGACCTACTCACCTTTTCACACGTACGCGAGCGCATGCGTCAGCAACGGCTACGTCACACACAACAAACCTCAGCCACAACAGCAGCAGCAGCCACCATGAGTCACGTTGCGCCACACCAGAGGGAGGAGAAGGTGGAAGAAGAGGAATTGAATACCCCACCCAGCGTGGAAAGCGTCATCAGCGAGCGCACCACTCCGACGATGCAGCGCGCCACGGAAAGAGAGGAGAACCAAAAGGAAAAACTTGCGAATCGTGTGAGCAGCTCATCGTTGGAGCTGGACGACCTCGGCTCCTTTCTTACAGCAGCGGGGCGTGCCTTTGCGCAGCTGAAACGCAGTGATGCCCACGGCGACCCTCCGGCCCCGTCTGCTAGACGAACAAAGGAATCAGATGGACCCGTGTCGCGAGACACGTGCGATGTGCAAGCTTCGGAAGAGAGGGAAGAAGTGGTTGGTGAAGATCACGGCTCCGCATTTCACGAGTCCACCGCACGGATGGTGCAGCACCGTTCACCTCTGTCGCCCTTCATGGCCACGCCCACGCCTTCTGCTACCACGTTAGCGCCCATCTCTGTTTTGAAATGGGGTAAGGACGAGGACATCGCTGTTGACGTATCAGAAAGCTCCTTGAATGATCTGCTGCGAAGCGGCATCGGCGACAGCGCGTGTGCACGCCGTCGGGATCATGAGCAAAAAGACTCGGCAAGTAGAGCTGAATTCCACCACTCCGACGTCGCGATGGAGGAGGACGAGGACGAAGAGAATTGCATTGGCTTCGCAGGCGGTGGTGTGGTGGTGATGTCGCTCCTGTATGATCAGACGTGGCTGTCCCTCGTGGGCGGGGGGCCTACGCCGATGGGCGCCCCAAACGAAGTTCACTTTGTGCGGGACGGTGAGCCGCACCATCAGCTCACGATGCCGCAACCCGTCGTGAAGCTTTTTCTGGACGCCCGACTGCTCTTCGTCGTGACCACCGCGGAGCTGCGCGTCTACACGAACCCGCTGGAGCAGAACTGGGTATGCCTGCGCCAGCGGATCCCGCTATCCGCGAGTGTGGCTGCGCGCTACGCCGCCGTTCCGTTGGCACCGGTGGAGGCGGAGGACACTGCAACGGTGACGGCAGAGAACGTACCTTTGAGTGTGTGGGGAGCACACCGATTCGACGTTGATCAGCAACTGGCGAGCTCAACGAACCCCTCGCTGGCCTCCGCTTCACCGGTGAGTGCGTCCGCTGCTGCTGCTACCACCTCTGCTCCGTTCAAAGGAAAGGAATCTCATGACGCACCGCGCCACACCGCGACGACTGCGGCGTCGACGCCACCGGCGACGTGTGTGACGCTACCGAGCATCCCTACGGTGGTGGACTACGCCCGAAATCTCCTTCTTCTTCCTACGGGCGACACGTGCCAGGGTTTTGCGCTGTACCGCTACATCACGAGTCCAGAGCCCGTAGAGCGCCGGGAGGAAGCCGCCGACACGACTGGCAGCGCATCCGCAACGGCAGCGCAGGCGGGTACGGAGAACACAACGGATGACAACCCTGCGGCGGCCACTACCGGGCGCACCGTCGTCTATCTCCAGCACATCGCCACACAGCAGGTCGCGCATAAAAACCCGCTGCACAATCTGGCCTTGTACGTCGGCTGGCCAACGGCGACGTCACGATTGTGGTCCACCGTCGCAGAACGCGGCAACACAAAGCAGCCAAGCGATTCCACGCCCTCATCGGCGTCTTCTTGTTCAACCTTGTCCGGCGCAAACACGACGTCACGCAGCGCCTTCGAACGCGATCGCAGCTGCAGTGGAACAGTGACGCTCGTCGCGGCGTCGAGCGAGTACGCCACGCGGCTTACCCTGTGGCTGTTACAGCAAGACGCAGACGACCGGTACCACCAGCCACAACCGCCGTCGTCGGACCCCTCGCACCGCGACCCGATAAGCGGACCTCTTCCTCGTCCCGGCCGTAGTGACGGCTACAACGTCGGTGGCACGGCGAACACAGCGGCCAGCTTTGTGCTTCTGCGCGAGTTCCGCGTGGGGCTGCGGCTCACACCACCCAAGTCGGTGATCGCGGCGCTGCCAGGTGTGTCGCGCTTCATGTCACGGGCGCACCCCTCTATTTCTTCTTCCACCACCACCGCCGCACCTCCATCCATCGCAACGAGCGCACGGGTCCGCGCCGACGTTAGCCAGTTCTCGTCCAACGTGTCCTTAGCCAATGCAAACCAAAAAGGCGGGCAGGAGAGATTTGCTTGGAGTGAGACCGAAGGGAACAGCACCGCGACATCAGCCGTTGCCGCCACCGGCTCTTCTGCCCTTCCCCGCTACGCCGCCTCCACCTCGACATATCGCGGCACCGTCGCGGCATGGGCGAACGAGGCCGCCTCGGTGGTGACCGCCTGCGCCTCCGCCTTCCCGACCATCGAGCACATGCAATTTATCGGAAACGGTGCGTACTTGTTGTGCGTGCACGGCACTGACGCACTCAGCGTCTTCTCCACCAGCGCGCCGGAGTCGGAGCAGGAAGCAAAGGATGTCACGCGCGATCGCGCCGTTGCGGAGCGAAACCGGTACTCTCGCCTCTCCATCATGAAGGAGTACCTCCCGCGCGCGTTGTCGAACCGGCTGGACGCCTACACGCGACAGGCCTGGTCTTCGTGCTCCGGTCGCCTGCCGAGCTTCGACACCGGTTTTGTACCGCGGTGGCTTTATCTGTGGCAACAGGACGCAGCAGCAGCAGCGGCAGCGCCTGCTAAACAGTCGAGTGCTGGCACGCAATCGTGTGCCACAGCCCTAACGCCACAATCCACAACTACGGCAGCGACAGGCGGCAGCGACACCAACACGGCAAGTCGAGGTGGGCGACGACTCTTCCATCGGCTGACCGCCCTTGTTGGCTCGCGATCCCAGCAGCAGCGGCAACTGCCAGCGCCATCTAGCAACAACACGGAACCTGTTTCTCTGGCAGGTGGCACCCATGCGCAGGACCCACTGAGAGCTTCACCTGTGGTGTCGCCCTCCATGACGGAGAACGCGCTCGCAATACGTACTGCATCGCCGGGTCGCTGCAGCGTCAGCATAACTTCTTCGACAAATGCACCGCAGCTGCTGTGGGGTGCGCCGCTCACGGGGCTGTCGCGCTGCGTTTGTATTTGGTCTGCCTCTTCTCACCACGGCCCGCACGGTGGTGACTCCAGCCGGGGTGATTCATTTCTGGGTGCGGCGCGGCGCCCCATCGTGCTGAACTGCGCCACCTGCGAAGGGGCGTTTACCAACGTGTTTTTGTTTGCTGAGGATGGAGAAGTTGTCACCTCACGTGTCCTCCCCTACGAGGCGGTGTGAGAAGTGGGGGGAAATCGAAGCACAGAACTGACGATTCACAGTGAACCAGCCACCCCTTTTTTAAAAGAGTTTTTCTCTTCTTGCTTCTTGACTTCAGCCAGAGCGAATAGAGCAGTTATTTTTTTTTTGCATTTGAAAGACGACGCATCCTGTACACGCAGCGTCTGTGCTCCTTACGCGTTCCAACGAAATTCCAGGTTAGCCGCCTATCTCAGCGCTGCGTATTGATGTTGCCTCCCATCAACGTGTACTTATCGCCTCCCTTGTGTGTATTATCAGCAGGCGCATCATCTTCTCTTCTACGTATTTGATATTGCTGCACTTATTACGCTCTCAAATGAGCGGTCTCTTCTTCTTCTCCGTCAGAATGACTTCACAGGAAAAGAAATGTTTATCTTCTCTTCCTTGTCATCTCCTCCTCTTTCGCTCTCCCTCTCTCCCTCTCGAGACCACGAAAGAGCGCCATTTACGTCTTACGGGTTACCTCGCTTTGTTTTGTTGTTGTGGTCCTTGTCGCCTGCACAGCTATCATTATATTCGGCGTAACGAGTAGCAACCACAAAGAAATCGTTTTCTTTTTAAATACAAACAAATTTAATTACTATTATTAATCCATGTCCTCGAATATCTCCTCCACGGTCGAAAAGACGGCGGCTGCCCCGCCCACCTTGCTTGAGGCTTTCGCCACCAGCGCCGCGCAGCTACGCCACTTTGGTATTCCCCGCATCCGCGTCGTCGGCCTCAGCGAGGGCTGCACGCAGGCGGACTACGAAAAGCAGCGCAGCCGTCCCGACGGCAAGGACATGGAAACCCTCCTGCAGGAGAGCACCCTGCGCGGCCCGCACGGCGCACTCGGCGCGGCAAGCCACCGCGTGCAGAGCGAAGCGGAGGCGCGTGCGGCGGCGCAGGTGAACGAGGACGTGCCAATCGTGACGGAGCAGGAGTTTATGCATAAGTTCGTGTTTCACTCACGGCCGTGTGTGATTTTGGACGCCATCGCGTCGTGGCCGGCGGTGGAGAAGTGGCGGGACGACCGCTACGTGTTTGATCTCGATCACACGCTTCCGCTGGAGCCGGAGCGCGAGCCGCAAGAGGAGGAGGAGGAAGACGAAGAAGAGCAGGACGACGGCGAAGACACGAATCCCAACGAGACAGAGAAAGCGAGAAGCTCCGAAAAGGCATGTGAGGCGAACGTCTCAGACGCCGCGGCACCTGTGTTAGCCCCCAAGAAGGTGACGGTGGCGCTGACGCCGAACGGCAGGGCGGACGCCGCAACGCGGGTGACCTACTCGACCACCGCTGTGCCGGCTGAAGACGCGGCTGCCGTTTACACCGGCACCGAAGCGCAGAAGCACGCGGTGATGCTGCCCTCGGCGGACATCGTCGACGCGGACAAGCACGTCCGCTGTGAGAAGATCTTCATGTACGCCGCCGAGCTTCGCATGACGCTGCCGCAGCTGTATGGCTTACTGCAGCGCAGTCCCCTCTTCCCACCAGCCAACCCGATCGAGATCGACATGCGCACCTACGCGGACAAATCCCAGGCGCCGGCCATCGCCTACGCGCAGCTGCAGAACAACTGTCTCAACACGGAGTACAACCACCTACACGTGGACATCGGCTCGAACGTGGAGCGCTTCGGCTGTCGGGTGTTCGACAAAGACGCGGTGGAGGCGGCGAACGTGTGGTTCGGCATCCCAGCCTCCGTCTCCTCGATGCACCAAGACTGGGTGGAGAACCTCTACGCGGTGGTGCGTGGCGTGAAGGAGTTTGTGATGATCCCGCCGTGGGAGGGCCCCTTCGTGCCAAAGCCGGAGATCCCCGCCGCCGCCTTCGCGATCGACGAGGCGCAGAGCGTCGTGGACCACGGCGAGGACACAGCGCAGAGTTGGTCGCTGCAGTTTAAGCAGTATCCCGTGAAGGATGGCACGACGGTGCCGTGGATGGACTTCGACATCACCGGGGCGGAGGTGGAGGACGATGCGGAGGGAGTGGCGCGTGCGGAATTGAAGCGACGCCTCGTCGAGCAACGCTGTGAGACGTCCGCGCTGTGGGCGGCACCGATGTGTGAGGACGAGGCGGTCGCCGCGGCGGAAGAGGAGGCGGCCCGAAAGCCACTCCACCCCCTCGTTGCGTACGTACACCCGGGCGAGACCCTTTATTTGCCGGCAATGTGGCTGCATCGTGTTGCGCAGCACGCGGACAGCACCGACATGCACGCACGGGCGATGCATCACGCTGCTGCTGCTGCGGCGGCGGTAGACCCAGCGAATCGCGCACCGACTACCGAGCCGCCGCTGCCCCTCATTGCTGCTGTGAATTACTGGTATGACATGAGCTTCGGTAACCCGTCCGTAGTGATGCTTCGCGAGTTTGGTTTGCTTCTGTGAGTGAGCCACGAAAGCTCCACAGGAAAGCAATGAAAGGGGGAGTTTCTGTGCAGCTGTTGTGGCGTCCGTGATTAGCAAAGAAAGAAAATGATAGGCGTTTGTGAGGCGCGCGCCGTTGGTGCCCACCTGCTGTCCCTCTATATATTTACCTTCCTCCCCCTGTGTTGATTTCTTTTACGGGCGCTCAAGAGACCTTTGTGGAGAAAATTCTCCCTCTCTCCCTCCCTCCTTCCCTCTCGCTGGTCTCATCAAAAAATAATAATAATTGAATTGAACGGCTAATAACAGCGTTAGGATAGTTTGCTAGCGAACAAGCTGCGTTTTCTGTGTGCTGTTATTCCACCTTGTTGCCGCCGTGGTGCAACTGCTCAAACCACGCGAGTAGAAAGAAACGTAAGCGAATGGACTTGCTGTGACTTAGCGAATCGAAAAGAGAACATAGAAGAGGGATGTGGTGACCCCAGTCGCTGTCAACGCATTCTGTTTTGTTTCTTTTAACTGTCGTACTCGGGTAGAGTCGACGGTAGCGATGGGAGCACCTTTGCTGCGTGCTGTCAATCCAATAGCGCGGTGCGGACCCTACCGCCGCTTTTTCTCACTTCCGCATCTTGTCAAGTATGACTCCAACGAAAAATGCTATTGTCGTTTCTCCTGTGCCTCGACTTCTCCTTCTCTCTTTTGTTCTGTTCGAATGTATTACTTCTCTTTTCATCTCTCTGTTTGAATAAATGCACTCACTCAGCGTCTCGCCACGCGAACATACACACACACACACTCTCTTCTTTTTAGCCTGCAGTGTGCAGTACAGCTGTTCTACACAGCGCTTCTCTCTCTCCCTCTTTACATGTTTTTTTTATTTTGGTTTGTTTCTCTGAACGAGTAAGCGTTTAATCTGTAAGGCGCTTCTTTCTATTGTGGTTGCTGCTGTAGGCTGATTCTTTCGTATCTGACGTTTTCACGCTAGGCGCATCTACGCAGAAGAAGAAGCAATCAAAGTAAAAAAAAAAAATGACTGAGAAATCTCTCCTACTGAAGTGCGACTTTGCGGATCACTTCTTCATCGTCGGCACCGACTTCCCCACCGCACGCGTCTTCGACACAACGACGTCGTCTCTCGCGGCGGTGGTCGAACTGCCGCTGCGCAGCCGCACCATCTCGCTCGCTGCGCTGACGCTGACCTCCGTTGCGCTCCGTCGCAGCGAAAATAGCGAAGAGGAGAGCAAGAAAGGAGACGGGCAGGAGGTACGCGCGACCGCCGCAGCGCATGCGCGGCATAGCACGGAGCAGCTGGTCGACGACAACGTGGCGGTGTACTGTGCTGCGGTCGGCCTCAGTAACGGCACTTTACTTCTGCACGACGTCAATCGCGATGTCCTCCTAGCCCACGTGCAGGTCTCAGAGACGCAGCAGCCTCTCATTTCACTTCAGCTCTGCGGGGGCTTTGTGTTTTGTCTGGCGGCAAACAGCATGCTGTACGCGGTGCGTCTGCGAGATGCCGCGGCGGGTCCGTGTTTGCGTCTGCGGGTGCAGCCGGATGCCAGCTCGATCGCCGCCACGAAAGTCACAAAGGACAGCCGCAGCAACGACAGCTCCGCTGCGCATCACATGTACCGAGTAATGGTAGCGGGGCCGACCAATGCGCTGTACGAGGTGGGGTCGCTTGCCAACAACCACAGCAGCGGCAATACGACGCCGCAGCTGTTACACGCGAAGAAGTGCCTTGCCTTTCCATCTCAAGGCACCACCGCCGAGTTTGCGTGGGTGAGTGACGTGAGTGAGGAGCTGGACACTCCAGCGTCTCTCCCCGCTGTCACCGCCAGCGCACAAGATGGCGTAGTGCGTCTGTGGGATTTGCAGTACGATCGCGCCGCGTCGTCCCCCGCGTCTTTGCTGGGCGGTGCGACCAACACGGATGCCGGTGCTGGTGGGACGGGTATGCTTGCCCGTTGCCGTCGCACGCTGTTGTGCGGTCAGCGCATCCTAAGCGTTTCCGTGCTACCCAGTGCAAACGGGCATCATAACGGAACTCGCAAGGGCAACTACATCATGGTCACCACTCTCACGGGCTCTGTCTTGCTGTGGAGTCTCGGGGAGGCGCTGCTGCCGCCGGTGGTGGAGCCGATGCCGCTGAAGCCCGATGTGGTGTTCGTCTCTGCGGTGTCGTCGGGTCGGCTCCTCTTCGCAGCCCTCCGCGCTGCTGCCCAGCAAAGTGCAAAGGAGATCTTCTCGTCGTCCTCCGGCGCGTCTGCAGATGCGCTTCGTGGGTTGGAAGTGACGCTGCTGCGCGGGCGGTTCGCGATGCCGATCTTCGAAACAAAGAACGTCGGGGCTGCCGTCGAGGCATCGAGTTTGTCTTCTGCTGTTGCGGCGGCGACGGTGGCGACACCAGCATCCTCCACGACAGCGCCGTCCAACACAGCTCATCGCACCGCCCTCGCCACACTGGCGCTCGGCGTCGCCGGCAACACGGCGATCACGGTGGTACAGCTGCCGTTGAACACGACCAGCGAGACAGCGCTGGTGGAGCGGCAAGATGTAGATTACCTGCTCGAGCGCACGACGGACGCCGCAACGAGCTCCTTTGTGGTGGTCGACACAGTCTGGGCTGCCCATCAGCAGCAGGTTGCCGCGAAGGCGAGCCAGTCTATGACGGAGGCGTTTAAAGCCCCGCAGCTGTACCATGCGAAGTCGATCCAGGACTTACCGGTGAAGCAGCTAACGCTGGAGCAGCGTCTGCAGCAAATCGCCCGCGAAGAGGCCGCCGCGGCGCGCATCCGCAAAACATTGGCGGGGAAGGAGGGCGAGGTAGATCAGAGCAACAGCAGCAGCAACAACGTCGATGGCGAAGGTGCGGGCCGAAGTGTGCTGTCCCACCACGCGCTGGGTCTCGCCACCATCCCCCTCTATCAGGCGCTACACGCAAACGACACCGCAGCGGTGATAGATCTGCTGAATATGTCGAGTCGCACCGCGGAGGGCATGCGGGCGACGGTGCTGTCGTTGCAGCTGCCCTACTGTCTGCAGCTGCTGCAGGTTATCTCAGAGCGGCTGGGGCTCGTCAGCAGGGCGGTGGAGAAGGCGGTGTCGAACCCCGCCGCGGGAGGTGGAAACGGGCAGAGCGTGCGAGAGGCGAATAAGGCAGATGCACAGAGCAACGGCTCAGCCACGACGGCCACCGCAACCGCCACAGCAGCGGGTTCGGCCGACAGCAACGACAGTAACCTGCGTGCGGACGGCGTGCTGCGCGGCGGCGTCGCCACCTTCTCCATCCGCTCCTCCCTGCTGGAGTGGATCGACGCGATGCTGAATTACCGCGGCAGTGAGCTGCTGGCAGTGCAGCGAGCGTGGAACGCGCGAGCGGCGCGCAAAGCGGCGGGGACGAGCACGCCAGAAGACGACATGGCGGATACCGTCTCTCCACCCAAAGATTTTCTTGCCCCCATCCTCCATCACTATCAGGATCTCTGTGCGCAACACGACAAGCTCGCGGTGTTGTACGGGCGGCTGTCCATCTTCAAAGCGGTCCGCCCGTCGCAGAAGAACGCGTTTACGAACGTGCCGCGGCAGTCTTTGGGATCGAACATCGAGATGGCACGACCCGTTCATGCCTCCTCGGACGCCGCACTGGCCACCAGCGATCCCCACAAACGTCGCCTGCACCTCGCCGAGAAGAGCAGCGTGGTAGACAGCGACATCATCTTCCCCGTCATGTTCAAGGAGTCCCGTGCGCGCTCGGGCCACCGCGTGGTGCGGGTCCGCAGCAAGCTGGAGATCGCCAAGAAGCGCCAGGAGCGTGCGAACAAGGATGCGGCGCTGCAGAAGCGCGCCCGTGCGCTGGCGCGGCAGGAGCTGCATGCGAAGGCGGCGAAAGGAGTGCACAGCATCCTGGACGATGACGATGGCCACAGCACTCATAAAAAGGGTGGCGCGGACGCGATGGAACAGATTATGATGGAGGAGATGCAGCGCGCCGGTGGGGAGCTGGATTTGGACGCGTTGGAGGCGATGGACCTTGCAGGCGACTCGAACTCCGACATCGACGACAGCGACGCGGCGTCCGCCGAGGAAGAGGAAGAAGAAGATAGTGATGTGGAGGCGGGCTCGTCTCGTCATCGTCGCCGCGGTAAGAAGGCGCGACAGGAGGCCGTGGAAACGATGCTTGCTGATGCCGGAGGCGCGGACGATGAAGTCAGTGGAGGCGACGCAGATTCGGGCCTGGACAGCAGCGAGGCGGAGTTCTCCTCCGCCAGCGATGACGAGGTGCAGTCCGACGTTCTGGATGACGGCAGCGAAGAAGAAGACGAGGAGGACGAGTCCAGGAGTGGAGAGGAGGGCAGCGACAACGATGAGGCAGGCTCGGACTACGCTGGGGATGATGATGACGGCAGCAGTGGCGCGGATGATGACGGCATGGGGGACGACATGCGGGAGCTGCTTGCGCGTCATGAAGATGATGCAGACCGCACGGAGCGGCGTAAGGCGAAGAAGGTGCGCACGGATTGATCAGAAAACTACTTTAAAAATGAGTGGGGTAATGAATAAGTCGTGCAGTGTTACACCCCGCTGTGGCGGACTGGCTTTTGTTAATGTCTCGTTCGCACAGGTATTCTCTTTTCTTTCTTCTCTCTTTTTGTCGATGAGCCGTTTGTTTGTGCAAGTCGGTTGTTTTTCGCGTCGACTCCGTTGAACTCCAGCCGAGGAAGGTTCGTTGAACTCTTAAGCTTTTGCGATTTACGGGCGCTTTCCTTTTCCTTTTTTTTCTTAGGTACTGATTGTTTAGTGGGAGAAGATAGGCTAGTGTTGTTTTGAAAAGTCGACACGTGGAATCGATACTTGATAATAATTATTACTCGGACTGTGACTGTTGAAGGCCCAGCCGTGCTGGTGTATTTTATGTTTGGCAAAACGATCCTTCCTGCGCCACAGCTCGAGAGCCGGACACCTGTGAAGGTGTAACGTTAGAAGAAAGAAAAACAGAAAGGGAAACTAACGGCTATGCGGCCATCAGTGAGAGCTGTGCTCTTTTGCTGTTGAGGGCTTTCTTTTCTGTCTGGCGGGTTCACACGAGATTCGAGGAGATCATTTTTCTTTTTTTTCTGGGAACTCGAATGCCGCACGTGTGTGTTTGTCCCTCTCACTCGTTGTTGTGGATGCTTATGAATTACTGTTTTTTAATTAATACCTCCGTTAACGCCAGCCTCTGCCACAAGGACGATTAAGTAAAGGCAAATAAACCGGAAAGGAAGCGAAAGAACAAACAAAACGGCTTTGCACGGAAGAACGCAGCCATAAAGAATGTGTGTGTGTGTCTGTGTGTGTGTTTGGCTTTTGTGTATTTCTTTCCTCCTCTCAGCAGGTACGAAGAGAGAGAAGGAAGGTATACATGTATCTGGATGCTTTCGGACTGGGGGAATAGGATTGGCAGGAGTGAGTTGAGGTGTTCGTCTGCATGCAAAAGACAAACGCTGCCACCCCCAACCCTCTCTTCCTTTCTGCTGCACCAATGCGGGTCTTCGGATTTCCTTTGAAGCGTATTCTATTCCACTGAAAGCGGCTGTTGTTTCGCCCCCCTCTCCAACCCAGTGCATCTTCCACTCGTTGTTCTTCTCTCCTTCTTTTTTTTCTATTATTCTTCTTCTGTCTTCCACCGCATTCCCTTTACGCATGAAGGAGTCGAGACTTTGCTTCCAAAGCGGGAAGGGCTTTTTAAAAATATTATCCGTTTCCATTGACGCTGCGGTTGTGTGCGTGCACCACGTTCTTTTCCCCCTGACTGCTTTTACACCCCATACGCACGTCATTCCCTCGTCCTCTCCCCGCCGCCTTTCGTGCGCCGTTGTCCTTGTCGCTGCTTCTTCATCTCCGTGAAAGCAGCACGACGGGATTTCTTTTCTGTTTGGGGGAGGTATTGAGTCGCCCCGGCCCTTCCTGTCAATTTTTTATTTGAATCATACATCCGATTATACACTCACTATATATATATATATCTACACTAACTATTAGAAGAAAGAAAAAACGGCATGTACGCCCCTACTTCACCGCTGTTGCGCGGCTTCTTCTCGCGCAAGAAGGACATGCAAACAATGCTGGAGGCCCACTTTTGGAGCCTCACCCGCTACCGTATTCTGCCGCTGTTTCTCGGCCTTGACCTTGCCGGCAACGTGATCTTCTATCCTGCCTACCGCAAGCAGAGCTTTGGTGGCTGGACCGCCGTCACGCTCGGGGCCCCGGGCAGCGCGAGCAACGCCTTCCTTAGCTCCGACTTGAGCGGCGTGAATGTGCTGGAGGACGGGCACCCGATGCACTACAAGGCAAGCCGCAAGCTGCAGTCCTTCGTGGCGGAGGAGCGTCGCCGGTGGCAGGCCAAGACCGATCTAGCGAAGAAGAAGCAAGCGGAGGCGATCGCAGCCGCAGCGAAGGGGAAAGCGGCCGAGGCAGCACAGAAGGAGCAGGAAGCCTCTGCGGCGAAGAAGAGCGCTGCGACGCGGCCTCTGCAGTTTGGCGCGGAGGTGTCTACGGAGCACCTCAGCAACTACGACAGCGAGCAGCAGTTCCGCGACATGCTGGCCATCAAGTGCACGCAGCAGCGCTTTTACCAGAGCCACCTGCGCGTGAGCCGCCTCGCCACCTTTGTGTACAAGTGCTTTTACTTTTACCTGTGGGCTGTCCTTGTGTCGCTCATCGTGCAGGGGTACTTGATGTTCCGCGCGTGGGTGAACCAACCGGCGCGCGATGGCTTGAAGAACATCGAGGAGCACGTCTTGCACATCCCGCGCCTGCTCTTCTCGGGCTGCGTCTACGGCTGGGTGTGGCTCGTGCGCACCGCGCAGCCGGTGATTGACCCCGTCGTGCACTTTCTGAGCGCCAACTTTCCGCAGGTGAACTGGGGTGTTGCGTCGGCGGACAACCTCGCAGCGAAGGCGCAACACCTGGCGGACGATGCGCACCCAAAGGCGAAGGAGCGGAAGCAGAAGGAACTGCAGCAGCATCTGAAGTCTGAGGAGGCACGTCGGACGTGGTGGACCCGCGTGCTGATGGTGCTGCTGGCGCTCTTCTCGATTCTCTGTGTCTTGTAGACGTAAAATGTTTAGTTATGGTGCCGTTTAGTGCCGTTGTCGTTTCTTTTCAAAAGACCGCGCTTTTGTGTCTGTTTTCATTGCCTTCTTCTATATTTTCAATGTAGAGTTGTGGAACTATTATAATTACACTTGTTCTTGAATTCGCGTTCTTCATACACGACTTAATTCGTCGACGATTCATTGGTGGTGATTGCTTGAAACTTAGAGATCTTCCTCTTTTTTGAAAAGGGTTTTCTCTCCCCTTCTCTCTTCGGCTGTCGTTGCAAAACAGGGAAAGTAAAACAAAGAAGCAAGTCATGTCGATCCGCAAAACCGCGCAAAAAGCAGTGGAAGCGTCCGTTACTACTTATTGTGTGTTGTGTTGTTTCATTTGTTGTCTTTTCACCTTCTCTTGTGGGCTCTCTTCTTCAACTTTGCGATTCTCCGGGTTTGCTCTGGTGGCTTTCGTGGTGGTTTTTACGAGGAGAAGAGCCTTTTCTTTTCCTACAGTTGTATTTGTTGATGAGCAGCATCGTTATTGATATAGAGGTGGTGCGTGCGCTGTTGGACGGCACACCGTGGAGGCCTTTATTGGGAGGAAAGGTTATGATGTCGTCTGTACTTCCGTTGTTGTTGTTTGTTGCGGTTTTTTGCGTTGGCTCTGCAGCTCCGCGCAGTCGGATTGCCGAAGTCCGCCGCTGTGTTGTCCTTCGACATCGCTTTCAGAAGCGGAAGCGGCAGAGCCGAACGGAGCGGTGCGACGACGCGAAAGGGAGCCCTTTAAATATATACGTTATGGTTTTTGCCGTTTTACTTATACAGGCAAAATGAAGCAGCTCGCATCCATTTGAAAGAAAGAAAAAGGATGGGCCTCGGTTGACAAGCTTTTTTGAGAGGCGCTGCGCTGTCCGCATTCCTGCTTCAGTAACGCAGTCCGACGCAGACTGCTAAGAAGGAGGAGGGGGGGGGTGGGGGAGGGGAAGACATCACATTTCTCTAAACCACACAAGTCTCCTGCGTGCGTCAGGGCAGTTGGACCACAACCAGATATACGCTGGATGCCGGAGAGCCTCCTTCGCCGTTTTGCTCTTCCAGCAGGAAGGGCTCATTTGACGAAACGTGCTGCTTGGCCACGATGATGAGTTTGCTAAGGGGCGTTGGCTTTTCCCACATTCAAACTTCGTTGTTGTTGTTTTTTCGTCCCCTTTTTCTCCTTTTACTCCGCATTTGTTTCTTCACATCAAACGCTCTTTTCATTTTGTTTCTGTCATCTGTGTGCTTACTCGCCCCATGCTTCATCGTTCGCGGTAGTCGTGGTAGTAGTCGAATTATTATTAGTTGCTTTTCTTACTATTAGTATCATTATTGGACACCACGCATTACTATTGTTATGCGTTGCACGGCTGCTCTCTGTCGTCGCGCCACGCTCGCGGCGGCGGTGCCACCCAACTACAGCAACACGCCTTATAAAAAAGACAGCGAAGCCGAAGGGAAGCGGTCCAACGCCAACAAGAATCGCGGAAACACGAGTAGCACCGCGACCCCCTTCGCACTTGTCGCCCCGAAGCTGAGTAGCACGCCGGGCACCACCTTCATCGACCCGAACTCCACCACCGTCGCCACAAGCTTCAACAACAACGACCAAATCAAGTCCTTTCGCCAGCGCGTCTGCGCGGCGACGGACGTATCGATGCGGCCGTTGCTGCTGCTGCTGCTGGATACGCAGGCGGGGAAGGCGGTCGACGACGGAGAGGCCGCCGCTCCTCGGACCCCGGTGGGTGCGCGCGGGGCGATGTACGGTGAGGTGCTGCAGCACCTCTCCTGCCGCTGGGCGGCGAAGTTCTACGGCAAAGTGACGTTTGCCCCTCGCAACTACCCCTACCCGTCCTCGCGCTGGCTGGCCCGTCGCTTTCAGATGAAGAAGCACCGCATCCTCAAGCGCTTCCGCTTTCGCCGCTACAAGCTCGCCGCGGTGGCGAATTTGCCCTTCGCAAAAATGATTCGCGTGGGGATGCTGCCGGAGCTGAAGAGCAGCAAGACGAAGAAGGGCGACGCCGTTGACGGCGGGCTGTCCTCGCAGTTGGTGAGTGTGGCGCGTAGCTCTTCGAGTGGGGGTAAGTCGAAAGGCAAGCGGACGCGTCCCAAGTCAAAGTATCAGGTGTAAAAGTCCTACGTGGCCGTCTGCGGGTGGGTGGGGGGGGGTCGTCCTTTCCATTGCCTCTCGTACGCAGTTGACGTCTCTCTTTACTATTGTCGTTGTCGTGGCGACGGAATACACGGCGGCTCCGCGCATACGTATTCTGATGTCCTTCGCTCTCTCTCTCTCTTGTTTCCTCTTTTCCTTTAGGGAGGAGGGGGGTCGCGGACTTTTGTTGCTGTCGTTTTGAATACGCAGATGAGTGCATATGTGTTTTATTAGTAGCGGAGTAAGAGAACGCGGTCTCTGAATGTTCAGTGTTTTGTTTTGTTTGTTTTTGCCGTGTGTTGTACCTCAACTCCTCTGTGATCGATGCGTTCACGGTTTCATGTGAAGATTGTTTGGTTCTTCGCTGTGTTGTCGCTCGCTTGATTTCTGTGGTGCTTTGGTCACAAGTCGCTGCCAAAGAAACGATGTTGCTATGTGGCAACGCGCAATCCCTTGGAGTTGTTTACGTCTCGTGAAGACGCAGTTGTTTTTCTATGAGAGGACGTCATTTGCGGCTTTTTTTTTGGTACCTCCGACGCTTTTCGCAAAGCCGTTAAGCCAATTCGTGCGGTGGCACGACCGCAGCGCTTCGTCTCTCTCCGAGCTCATCAGGTGTTGTGAGCGACGCTTTGCTGATCTGCGCGACTGGTCGTCAATTCGCGGAAATGCTCAACATCTTCTCTTTCTTCTGGATTTCTCTGCTCTTGTTGTTGTTGTTTTTCCGGTTTCTCCTCCGCCACACGCGCAACGTGCATCACATCCATCGACGCACTCTACCTCTCTCAGACCCGAAAAGAGAAGTATCCAGCTAGCTTATGCTTCTACGGTCGCCTTTGTGGTCTTCTGCGCTGTGGTCGGCAGCGCTCGCAGCCTGCCAGGATCGAGCGACGCAATGCACCTCCGCGCCACGATCCGCATCCAACAACGAAACGTCATCTTGTCCATCATGGGTGGAAACGTGGTCGCTGTTCTTTCAAGGCGTGGAGCTGGGTGTTGCTCGCCATCAGCACTGCTTTGAGCTCCTACCAGCTTCCCTGCTTCAGTCTGTGGGTCAGCACTGGGTGGACTGCACCCTTGACACCATTGTTTCTGCGCGGCTAGCAAAAGTCTGCCCTCCCGCACGTACAACGTTGGCGAGCACTCGCGGCTCATCCTGCTCTTTTTCTCCCACTTCCACTTCCTCTTCTGGGGACGTTGCGGTAGATGGTAGCACGACGACGGCGGCCTCTCTCGAAGCGCTGCTATCGATGTGGAGTGCGCATACACTCTTGGCCGAGCTCCATAAAAAGGCCGCGCTCAGCCCTGCCGCAGCTGTGCAGGATGTACAGAACACCCTTGCGCAGAGCCTGCGGGCCGATGTGTTGCCTGTTGTGTCGTACATCACCCGTTTCTCGAGCCTGCAGAACGGTGATGACTTTTTTCTTGTCCGTGTGCACGTCCTGTCTCGTGCGCTCGTCTTCGTGCTCTCCAGCTTCTTGGCGGAGTGGCACCGGTCAGACAGGGGAGACGGAAACGAGCGCCGGCCATCGAGCTCAGCGGATGTGCCGCATTTATCCATGGCAGAGGCGGCGCTAGCACGGGAGCTGTGTGAATGGATCAGCGTTCTGCAGCAGCGTGCCGATGAGACGAGGGGGAGTGATGCAGACGTACGACTCTTCAGCGTCGCCTACAGGAAAGAGTCCGACTCGTTATGCTCATCTATTGCATCACCACGGCAGCCAGCGGAAGCCCAAGGCTCCTTCGCAGGCGCCTCTACCGAACAGCAGGTGGACAGGACGTGCGGTGGACGGACGTATTGGTCTGATGTGCGTGCGCTGCGAGAGAATACTGCCGAGCAGTTCCAGCTGCTTCAATCCACGCTCACGTCTCGTTACACCGGTGCGGAGGACGAGGAAAGGGCGATGCGGTCCACGGAGAACCAGTCCACACCATCGTGTCACAGAAGCTGGATGGACGAGTTGTGCGAGCAGGCGACGGCGAAACGTGAGAGCTGCGGGCGAGACGACTGCAGGGAGACGCAGCGGCAGCCACCGGTGGCGTCGCCGTCCCCGTTTGCGGGCGTCACGGGTGTGGCAGCAGCGGTGGAGGAGCCAACGGAAGTTTTGGCGAGCATCAATGCAGCACTGAATCAAGTGGCCCTAAGCAGCTCGAAAGAGGTGTAGCTGCTCTCAGAGAGAAAAAAATGAGGGGGATGTATGGCGTGACGAAACGGTGCTCTATTTCAAAAACAAGAAACATCTCCTGATTGCGTCGTCACAGCAAATTTTATCTTGGAAATACAAAGTATGAAGGTATATACTTTCTTAAGTATGTGGCACTACTACCAAGTCTCATGAAGCGATGTTTCGTGCTCTTCTTCCCTTGAACGAGCACCATTGACCAGTTTGTGAAGACATCACACTCTCTTTCTGTATGAGTGTGTGTTATTGATGCCGTTACGCGGATTTTCGTACTACTTGTCTTATGCACGCTTCTTCACATCACTTTTCGTCCCTCTCCACAATTCTCCCTCCATTACCACTCGTACCTGTCCATATTCCTGCGCGAGCAGACGTCTCCTGGTGTGGGACAACCCGCTCGCGCGCTGCCTTTTTTTGTCTCTCTCTCTCGGCACTTCCCGCGGCTTTGCAGACCCCCGCAGAGCACACACAACCTCAGAAACGCAGAACCTTTTATTATTATTATTACTTTTGCTTTCTCCAAGTCGAAGGCAACTTGCCACTTTTCGTTGGTGTTGTTTGATAGCTCCCTGACAGACGTTTCAGAGGCTGTGCGGTTCTCCGTGCGCGTTTCAAGGCACTTGTGCTTCTTCTTTACATTTTTGTTTTGTATTGAGAGTTGCGGGAAGCCGAAGAACGGCGCAGAGGCTCTTAGCCGGTTTCTAAACCGATTAATAAGTCGCCTTCTCTGTGCTTCGTTCTCCTCACGCTGATCTACTTTTCGTCCCTCCATTTGTGTTTCTACGCTTGAGTGATATCCTGCAAGTGTTGTCGGTTTTCTATCTTCCTTCGTTTATTTACGCCCCTCCTTCTTTGAGCCGATGAAGGTCACATGGTTGTTGCGCCGTTGCGGTGGCGCTGTTGGCGGTCGCACCCTGATCTTGATGCGTGCGGCCCAGCGGGCACGAGTCGGTGCCTCGTCGTGGACTTCCCTCGTTGCAGCGAGCGCGCTGAAACGGAAATCACCGCGACGGCAGCGGCGCTCCTCGCAAGACGGCAACCACAACCACCGCGCTGTTGTTCGTTCAACGACAACTGCCACGTCGCACCTTTCTCTCGCGGAGTTCCACCCTGCCATTGCTCGAACGTGGATCGCGGCGGCGTCGAGCAAGATGCTGCAGCCACAGCACGTCTCGCCCGGTAGCCGCAAGCTGGCGTGGTGGATTTGCCCTTCCTGTCAACACCAGTACAACCGACGAATTGACCTGCATCTCGCAGCCGGTGGGGAGTGCCCAAAGTGCAAGGCGAAGCCCTCGTTACAGCCAACCGCAACAGCAGCGTCACCACAGCGCGGTCTTCAGCGCCGCCGCGGACGTGTTGGGACTGCCGCTGTAGAACGCAAAAAGACTGCCACCCCCCCTTCTCCGTCTGCCGCGGCGGTGGCGGTGATTGCGCATCGGTGCCGCCCAGACTCCTCGCAGGCAACCCTCGCGGCGGATAACGCGAACATGCTGAGCAAAAGCGTTGCGGATGATCAGTATTTGCGTGTGCGCGAGACGCGTAATTTGCTGCCCATGCTGGCGAAGAACTTCGACGACGAAAAAGCAAAGATCGGTGCGGCGGAGGTGTTACGCGTTTCGCCAAAGCTGGACGGCATCCGGTGCGTCGTCGCCTACCGCGCCGACACGAAGCAGGTGCTGTTTTTCAGTCGCTCTGGGACGTTGTTTGAGTGCTGCGATGATGTGATTGACCCCGCCGTGCGGCACCTGTTTGAGGTGGATCCTACGCTGGTGCTGGATGGGGAACTGTACAACGACTCCATCAACCTCGCGCAGCTCGCATTGCTTCAGAAGGGGAAGCAGAGGCCCAAGGCTTCGCGTTCCCCTTCTGACCCGGCCGCAGCCTTCTACGCCACCCTTCTCGCCGCAGCAGCAGGGGGAAAAGAGGGGAGAACAAGTGGCGCGGCCAAAGGCACCAACAAGGCAGGGGGCAACGGAGGTGCTGCGGTCACGGACACTGAGAAGCCGGTGGTGATTCGTTTTGAGCAGCTCACCTCTGCCATCCGCACTACGCGGCAGCATCGCACACCGGCCGTTGCAGCGCTGCAACGGCAGCTGCAGTACCACGTTTTTGACGTCCTCTACGCGCGTGACTTTGTGACCGGGTCGGCCGCAACGGTTCCTTTTAGCATGCGCCACGCCGTTCTCGAGAAGCTGCTTGCCGAGGCCACCACGTACAACCTGTCGCACATCCAAGACTACAACCCGCTGGTGCTCCGCTGCGTGCCGAACTACGCGTGTACGCTGGACAGCGTCGACACGGTGCTGCGAGCCGCAATGCGCGTCGGCTACGAGGGCGTCATGATCCGCCGCGAAGGTAAAGGGAAGCACGCTAGTGTGCCGCAGGCGGCGAAGACAAAAGTAAGGCGAGCAGCAGCTGCCACGTCGTCATCGGCCACTACCTCGACGGCGCCTGCGCCATCATCCGGCGATGGCAGCGGAGGGTACGGCTACGGACAGCGCAGCGGCACGCTGTTGAAGTACAAGGTAATGCAGGATGCGGAGTACGTCATCGTCGGAGCCGTAGAAGGCTCAGGCAAGTGGAAGGGGAGTCTTGGTTCCTTTATATGTGTCACGCCCGATGAACAACAACGCTTCACCGTGACGCCCGCCAGCACGGATAGCGAGAAGAAGCGCATGTGGCGGACGTGGAGGCAGGCGTACAAAGGTAAAGCGCTGACGGTGCAGTATCAAGAGCTCACGCCGGACGGGGTGCCGCGGTTCCCGGTGGGGAAGGGTGTGCGCGGTGCTGCGGATGGACACGACTGGCTCTAAGCGCGTGCTTTTGGTCATGAAGTGGAAGACGAAGAGAAGGGGAAGCAAAAGAACTATGAAGGCGCGGCGGAGGAAGCCGGTGATGTGCATTATTTACCGGGGTCTTTATATCATTTTTCATTTTCCCCCGTGCGTTTGAGCCGTCCCTCTGATTTCCCCCTTCTCGTCATTTTCTTCTCTGTTGTTCCGCTTTTGCTGTATCCAAAGCTGCCGCAGAATACTGTGATTCGTTGATGGCATTCACCTGCACGCACACGCACACTTAGCGATTGCAGAACTCGGTAGAGGGAGTTAGGCAGACGAACTACCTTGTCAGCTGTGAGTGTTTTTGTTATTATTATTATTTGCTGTCTTGCACCGCCTTCTACTCATCTATAGAGGATTTCTCAATTCCACGAAGTTAGAAGCTCACTGCAAAGAAAAAAATCGGAGGCACCTTCGTTTTCTGTTTCGCACCTGGGACGTTGTCGTGGGCGCTATCGTGTACGAAACTGTCCCATTTTATGTGCCCCTCTGAGTACACGGTAAAACCTCTCCTTACTGTGTGTTGTTGTTTTCTTTTCCTTCCCTTCTCCATTCCGTTCATTAACTCTTGTACCTTTAGATGCTCACGTAATACGGCGAAAAACTCACACCTGGTGAAACTCTTATGGAGAGAAAAATGTGGTCTTGCGGTCGCCGTGGTCGTCTGTTGGGTGGTCCCTTCCTCGGATGCTCTTTGCTTTCTTTCTACACACGGATACATATATACGGAGAGAGTCGTTCTGTGAAGGGTGTTGTCGCTCTTTCCCCTTTCGGCGTCAGATGTTCTTTCTCGCCTGCGAGACAAACAGTATACGATTTTTCCTAAGAGCATTGGGAAAAGAAACGTGCTCCTCGTCTTTCGCTGTAACTCGCTAGGCTCTTCTCTGTCTCTGTTGTTCTTGATACCTCTCTTTTCTTCTTCTGCTGTATGGGACCGCGTAAGCTTCACATCAAAATTGGGAAAAAAATAGAGAGAGCATCGTAGTAGTTGCGGTCGATCAACCGACTCAACACACACCAGCGACAGTGTAAGCCTTTTCATATACATCCACCGTACTTGCACAGAAGCGTTCACATACATACATACATACGCATACGCATACACATATACATATAGATCTGCATACAACCACTGGCATTGTCCGGCTTCTTTCCATACACGCACGTAGCACCACAAAAGCGTCCATCATCTTCTTCTTCGATCTTTTTTTTCTCGATCATGTTTCGTCGTCAGCACCTGCTCTTAGCGGCGCGGCTGCCCATCGACAGCACCAAACTCTTCGGTGCCGGCCGCGAGCGCAGCTCCCATCAGCAGCGCGTCTACACACAGCTCAAAAAAGCGAGCATTCAAGAGGCCTTTCCGCACATCGCCGCGTGTTGGGTGGGTCCGTGCTGGGGCACCGTCATGCAGACGCCGAGCAACGTCACGCCGGTGTGTCTCAAGATGGCGGTGTGGCGCTGCTCCCGCTGTCTGCAGGAGTTTGAGATGTCGATTGCGAAGTTTATCGACGAGGGTGGCATCTGCCCGCACTGCCACAAGCCGCAAAAGAAGCTGGACAACATCACCGTGCAAAACGCCAAAGGCGAGCTGGTCAGCAAGAAGCCGCAGTACGTGAAGGCACCACGCATGATTCACTCAAATTACCGCAGCGTCCTCTTCCACAACCCCGAGTGGGAGTCGAAGAACATTCAGCCGATGCTGGCGCAGCGGTGGGAGCTGGTGGCGGATGAACTCACAAAAGGGAGTAGCGAGACGAACGGAGCCGCCGTGCAGCAACAGTCACAGCAACAGCATCTGCTGCTGGCCTCACCGAAGATCGATGGCATCCGCTGCATGATCGGCTTCAATCAGAAGAAACAAGAGGTTCAGTACTTCTCCCGCGGCGGGATTCTGTTGGAGTGCTGTCACGGCCTCACTCCGCAGCTGACGCCGCTCTTCGCGCAGGATCCGACCCTTATGCTGGACGGCGAACTCTTCGCACCGGAGTGCAATTTCGAGCAGCTGAACGGGTTGGTGCGCCGCCTCAGTCGCTCCAGCACACCGGCAATTCAGGAAGCGCAAGCTCGCTTGTTGGAGTACTTTGCGTTCGACATCATGTACAGCTCGCAGCTCTCCTCTGTCGACGCGCCGTTTGACGAGCGCTACCGTCTCTTGAAGAAACTTATCCCCGTCTGCGGCGCCAAGCGCATTAGCAACTACGTCCACGATGAAAAGAAGAAGAAGGTGATCCGGGCGAAGCAGCGCAACGCAGCGACGGAGACGAACGGCGAGCTGGTGAAGATCTACCACGTGCCCGCCGCGCAGGTGCACCCCAGTGAGATGGAGGATGTGCTGACCGAGGCGTGTTCGCAGGGATTTGAGGGGGTCATGATCCGCAGACCGGAGTTCCCCTACGAGCACGGGAAGCGCAGCTTTGGGCTGCTCAAGTACAAGCAGATGCACGACGCGGAATTCAAGATTGTGGGCTACCTGCCCGGAGAGGGAAAGTTCAAAGGCGGGTTGGGCGCCTTTGTGTGCGAGACGAAGGACGGAACCAAGTTCAATGCCCCGCCGAAAGTAACGTACAAACGCCGCATTGAACTGTGGGGACTGCGGAAGGAGTACCTCGGCAAGTACTTGACGGTGCAGTATCAGGAGCTGTCCTCGCAGGATGTGCCGCGCTTCCCGGTCGCCAAGACGGTGCGCGGCGGCGAAAACAAGCAGGAATGGTTATGAGCCCATAAATGCATACATACACATCAACATCGCAGCAGTCCGTGACTGTAAGATAGAGAAGTGCGGTTTTGTTTTTCCATTTTTCGGAAGACCCATCCTTTATGGATTCTCACGGTTTTCTTTTTTCTTCGACAGAAGGTTGTGGCATGAACCGAAATGAAAAGGTGGAGCTGCGTTGAAGCGAGCGAATGGCAGTGTGGGAACCACTTCCCTCCCCCTGCATGTTTTCTGCTCCACTGCCTTCCTCCTTCTCTCTCTTCCCAAACGGAGGCTGTTTGACTTCAGTGAATGGAGGAGAAGAAGGAGTCTTTAGCTCTGTTACGGTTTTTTTTCTTTGGTGGCGGCGAACCTCTTCCTGTTGACCTTTCGCACTTGCCACGAAACTTGCATAGACCAGCTGCGTCTATGTACGTTTTAGAAATAGAGGGTTTTTTGTTGTTTCTGTTGTTGTTGTGTCTGTTGTACAACTAGCTGGTATCGCCGCATCGTTGCTTTAAGTTTTAGTGGATTATCTCCTCTTCGGTTTTTTTTGTCTTCTTCTTTCTTCGTTTCCTCTGTGAGAGTGACTCTCATCGTCCTGGCACACCCATTTGCTCTGATACGAACAAACAGAACTGTACGTGAAAAAATTAGCACTCAATTCGAAGAAGAAGCGCGCTCTCCTGTCACATTTCGTGGCCTAATCGCGAGCTTTCAAGAAGGGTGGCAGCTCCACACATTCGCTTCACCTAACGAGAAATGTAAATGAGCGGAAGAAAGACGCGTGGAATGTGGATTCGATGTGGAGCAGTCAGTTTTTTGGATGATGTCCCTGCGTTGTTGGCGTCGCCTGATAATGCGAAGGTCTCTCTCCCTCTCCCTCTCTCTACCAGGCGCAGTCTCAAAGTTTTGCTTGTTTGTCGCCACTGTCAGCAAGCATTCAGAAACTCTGTGTCTGTGTGCTTCGGCCTTTCTGGTGTACCACTCTGAGCCAATTCATCGCCAAATACCTTACATCTCTTTTCTGCTACCCTTCGTCTGCGCACAGCATTTTCAAGTGTTCTCCTCCTTTCTTTTTTTTTTTGGTAGGGAGGGGCCTGAGGAGTGTCGTACTTATCGTACTTTTTTTTCATTTGCTTACGTTACTCTCACACACAAGCTGTTTCTCTCCCTGTCCATTAAGAACACCGATCCGATGATCCGTAGTCTGTGCCGCTACTCTTGCGTTCTGCCGCACCGCGTGGCCAGCGTGTCGTCAGCGTGCGGTGGGAGTACCGTTTCGCGCGGTCGCCTCCTCGCCGTCCCCTCCGCCCGCTGGCCACAGGGCGCTGCAGCCTACCGGTGCAGCGGCATATCGCTGGCCGGGCACAACGATCAGCCCGTCGCCTTGTCGGCTCTCACCAGCTCCACCCGCCGTCTCTCTTATGTCGTGAACTCGTCGAACTTCGAGACCGAGGTGATCCAGTCACAGCAGGCTATCTGCCTTGTGTACTACATCAACAGTAGCAACTGCGCCGCGTATCTCAAATCGGCGGAGAAGCTCGTGGATGCGGTAAACGCAGAGACCGCCGGGCTGGAGGTCGCAGACGCGACGGTGAGCGCTGCTTCCGCCACAGAAGCCGCAGAAGCTGGCCTCACCATCGAGACAGAAAGTGGTGTCGCCGTAACAGGACCGAACTCAAGCGATCCGACGTCGCCCCCCGCACCGCTTGCAAAGATGCAGTGGTTGAAGCTGTGCACCATCAACGCGGACGAGAACCGCAACTTGGCCTCCGCCTTCTCGGTCGAGCGCGCGAAGCTGCCCGTGACGTACTTCGTCATGCAGGGCACGATCATCGATAAAGTGGTCGGCCACGTCGCGGCGGGCCGCCTCGAGAGCATTTTAGTGAAGTTTCTGGAGCACTACCAGAAGGAGATGAACGTCGATTTGCTGGCCCGACACAGCAAAGCCGGCACCGGCGGAAAGCCCGACGCTTCAACTAGCCCGCTGCCCTCAGCGGCCACTGCGGACCTTCTCCGTGGCACCTCCACCACCTACTTGCAGGACAAGATGATGAACGCGCTGGTTGGTACGGATATGATCCAACTACCGGAGCAGGCGGAGCAACTTGACGGCATACGTAGAACCCTGCAAGAGGCTAAGAAGAAGGCGCACGCGGAGTTGCAGGAGCTGTACAAGCAGCTCGGGATGGACATCCGGCGGCTGACCGATGCCGAGATGCACGCACACTACTTTAACTCGTCGCAGTTCCGCGCACTGGGCGTCATTGCTGGGTTAGAGGCGCTCTACCTCGCGCGCTCCTACGCGACGCTCGGCGACGTCGCGCGCGCAAACGTGGATTGGGCTCGCCGTGCCGTGCAGAAGGACTTTGCGCCGATCCAAGGCGACCCAACGCTGCGTCGGGTCATGGCGTTGGTGGAGGTGAATCTTGTTCGAGGGGAGCTGCGTACCGCCGCGACGCTCGCCGCGCAGGATGCGAACCGTCTCCGCAGCTCTTTGGCCGCCATGGATACCGATGACGTGATGAATGCGCAGCACCATTCGGCGTTACGGGAGATGGAGATGTTTATTGCAGGGCAGAGTCAGTACTGCCTCGACATGCTGCGCATCATGGACGAGCACGTCGACAGTCGCACACTCGACAGCAGCGATTTCCCTTCTGCGGTGATGGATCAACTGTTTGAGATGCTCAAGACGAACCTGAAACTGAGCCGCACGAAGCTGCCAGTCTCATCGGCAGCAGCAGCATCAGCGAAGCAGCAGCAACAAGGCCAGGGTGCGGAGGATAAAGTTGTAATGACGGACTTGCTGGAGGGCAAAGAGCTGGACACGACGGCGAAAAGGGTGTTTACAGCGCAGGCGCGTGTGCCGCAGATCCGCGCTCTCATTACGTCGCTCGTGCAGCTGTACCCGACAGATCCGGCGGCGCAGGCGGCGCGGTCGCGTCTGTCGTCGTTACTGTACTAGTGTTGCTGTCAAAAGGCACCTGGATGTGGTAGGTCCCACACTCGTCCTGCTTTCGTTGTTGTTGCTGATGGTTCCTTCTTCTTACGGCTCCTCTTCCAGCACGTGCAGATAGTTTGCCCTGCTCACTGTTGGCCCTGTTTGTTTGTTTGTTTGAGTCCGCACTACGTCCTCTGTGTGTTTTGGAAATGGCTGTAGTAATGGAGAAGGAGGGGGAGGAGAGAGTCGTTCACAATCACTAAGTTCAAGTCGCACACATCTCTGTCAACTACTGTAGAAAGCGTACGCGTTGTTACCACGCGCCTTGTGCGCGCCAGCAGTGGAGCGAAAGTCGTCGGAATCATCTCTTTGAAACAGAGCGCTCCCTAGCCCTGCTGCGCTCGTTGACCAGCGCCGCTCACATCCCTCACGTGTGCGTGTTCTCTTCACAGAGCTTACTGCGTTTCGCATTCACTGCGCCACCTCACGTCTACTCGACACCGTCTCTCCTCTCTCCTCTCTCTCCTACTTTTTTCTTCTACACACGATTGCGTGTACCCGGAATGGGAAGCGACTGCGTCTTGTATCGCAGCAAAAGCAAGTCTTCCCCACCCTCCTCTTCACTTTTCGTTCTTCGTTCTCCCACCCCTTTCCTCCGCCGTAGACCGTGGTGACAAAGCTTGTGTGGGACGTAGAGGAAAAGGTGGAAAAGAACCACAAGAACTGCCATTCTTACAAATGCATAGCAGCTGCTGTTTGTTTTCGTGAAGTGCGGTCACTCTCCTCGAAACTGTGTTGTTCACTTTTTCCTTCTCATCTTTCCTCTTTCTTGTCTGTATAGACTGTTCGCTTCGTTTTTCGAACTCCACGACCTTTAGGGAGTCTGTCATCCCCGGCAGAGAAACTCCTCGTTTAGCTGCTTGCAGATCTCTTCTTCGGACCATTAATTCGCTTAGCTGACTAGTAATCGTCACGAGGGAGAGAGGAAGACACACTTAGTCGCAGACGAATGTAACGTATACCTCCCCCCCCCCCTCCTTTTTTGTAGCTGCGCATCGTCCATTACTCAACTTTATTTTATTTATATATTCACAGTAGTTATGCAGCGTACGTAAATCAAGACATCACACAAACTTCTTTCCTCCATTTATTTTTCGGAAGATAATCTAGAGTTTTATATATATATCTTTAATTACTTTCATTTCCTTACTATTATTATTATTGTTGCTATTTAGTGTTGCGCTGTGTGTGCACCTTCAACCTTGTACTTGGCGTTGTGCGGCTGTTCAATTCTGTCTGTGTCTGTCTCTCTCTGTGTGTCTGTGTTGGACTTCATGTTTTATTTTGCTGTTCTATTTAATCTTACAATTTCTCGTTGTGATTGTGATTGTTCTTCCTTCTCGTTCTCGCGATCGTTTGTTGGTGTGTACAGTTTTATTCTGTTATTTCTTTACGTCCTATAGAGGCGCTCTCTGCTTAAAGGAACGCAGTGCGTTACCGTCACACATACACACGTTTGTTTGTTTTGTGTTTCTTAAATTAATTATCGCGACGACCTCACAGAGCCACACGGCCGTACATCCCTTCAGCCAAGGATCTTCTCCTTTTCCTCCGTGTCAGTAGGCGAGATGACGGAGCCGCGGCAGTCACCGGAGGCGACGCCTGTCCCACCTACGGGTACCTCCACCAACGCCGCCTCCGTCCATCCGAACAGCATGGAGGTCGCAAACATGCGCTTTAACGAGACGGCGCCGCCGGTCGTGTCCACGACATCCTCCTCACCCCTTCCGGAAGGCAACCCCACCGCCGCTGTGCCGTCCTCCTCGCAGCCGCCCCCCGCTGCCCTCGCGAGGAACGACTTCATGCTTAGCCGCAGTCGGCAAATACCCTACTCAACCATGAACGACTTCGACGCAGCACGGCAGTACCGCAGCCGTCAAGGAGGCACCCAACATCATTCGGCTGGGCACCGTCATTTGCACAGAGAGAACTCATCGCACCGTGCGCCGCGACAGCACCGCAGCCATGCCCACGGTGCGTCCGCACACGGACAAACGCGGAGCAGACACGGTAGCCGGTCGGAGAAGCACGGGCGTCACACATCACCACGACAGCAGCATCCGCATCAGCATGGGCGAATGCGTCGCCAGTTAATGGCGACACCAAAAATTGGGCGCCCTTTTGCATCGCACCCGGAGCTGCCGGCGCTGGAGGGCGCGAGTGCCGCGGCGTCGTCGGCGACGGATTACGCAAACTGGGCTCGCCTCGACACTGTAAACGCGAATAATAACAATAGCAGTCCTCATAGCAAGCTGCCCACGACGACGGAAGCGGCAGTGCCTGGCTTTGGGAGGCCTGCGGATGCGAGTGGTGGTGGTGGTGGTCTCACGGGTGGCCCGCTCGCCAGCCCCGACCGCCCTCGCCAACGTTCCTCTGCGCGCGACGACAGCGAAGTTGTCGTGGGCCCTACGACCACCACCGTTGCCACTGCCTACAGCAACGACTTGGCTGGTAACACCGGGGATAGTCGGAAGAGTACGAATCTCGAGACTGTTCCAGCGATGACGTTTTCTCCGCTGCACCTACAGCAGCAGACGGCCCCGGTAGACAGCGGTATTCTTGACGATGAAGGGGCGTTGTTTCCGCCGCTCGAGGGCCGACACGTGCGCATCTCCGCCCGCGACCGCGACGAGACAAACGGGCGGTTGCCGGTCAGCACCGCCCCCCGCAAAGGCAGCCGGCACACTGGAGGTGGAGATACGGCACATCGCTCGCATCGCCGTCGCCATTGCGGTCATCCCGGCTCCGATTCCGAAGGCCGCAACGCCAGTCGCAGCACCAGCAGTGAGGAAGAGGGAGAGGCGGAGGACTACACGACCAACTCTGCAGGGTCCGCTGCGACTCGCGCCACGCGTGACAGCTTTGGCTATCCGATTTATCATCCCATCTTCCACCACGGGACGTTAGGCGGTGACGACGACTTCGATCGCGGTCGAGCCGGCGAGGCTGCAAGGGCTCCCGCCATCGCCGGTGGTGGAGGCGGCGGTGCGCCGCCGCCTGGTCCTACGCTGGAGGTGCCGACCACCACCGATGTCCCATGGGACCTACGCAATGTCGCGGAGCGCGAGATCAACAAAACGTTTGCCTTTCTCAGCACGCGGTACTTCTGGTTTTTGATCGAGTACGCACTTCGCGTGACCTGCATCGCGATGCTGATTCCCGCCATCATAATCAACCTTAACCTGAAGCACACTCCCTTCGAGTCTACCACCTTTGCGTTGACGAGTGTCGTAATCGCGGTGGGCACCAACTTCGGCCAGTCCTGCGTCTTCTTCGTTCAATACATCAAGGGCGGTTGCATTTGGCTGCCGCTCGCCACCATCTGTTCTGCACTGAAGCTCAACCGCTACCTTGGCGCGTGGTTTGTGGTGTACCTGGTGCTGCTCTTCTTGATGGCTATGTTTACAGAGAAGACGACGCGACGCATGTGCCTGCTGCTGTACAACATCTCCATGGTGAGCCTTCTCTCGGGTGATGAGAGTCTCCTCTTCCCAACCCGCGTCCTCGCTGATTGGGCCCTCGGCGCTGCCTTTGCCCTGGTGTCCACGCTGATCCCGTACCCGATGCTGGCGACGCGGTTCTCGGCGCACATCACGAAGATCATGTTCAAGAACACGGCGACCTGCTTTACGGGTATTCTGTCCTGTTTCTGGGCGCCGAGCAACACGGAGCGCAGCATGTCGATGGTGCGCATCCGCTACCTCGTGCGCACACTCGACCACCTGATTGAAAAGTTCGACTCCTACGACGCCTTCACCTTTTACGAGGTCCTCATCTACGAAACCTCCGAACGTCGCGAGGTGCGGAAGGAGAAGGTGCAGCTGCTGCTGAAGCTCAAGATGAACCTACGTGCGATGGAGCGGGTCATCAACATGGTGCAGGAACGGCCGCAGATGATCGACCTCAGCGAGCGGTGCCTGCTGCTGCGCGACCACCTCTCCCTTCCGATGGACGACATCTCGCGCTCCATGGAGGCCCTGCTGTGGAAGCTGAGCGAGGCGAAGAAGTATGACCAGCTCCGCACCCTCAGCGGATACTTCGAGGCCGCCGGGCGTGCGATCAAGCGCCTGCAGACGGAGTTCGACGTCGGCCGGCGCGTACTGCTGTACGAGCACCAGGAAGCCAGCATTCTGCGCGACGGGCGCATGGAGGAGTTCGTGCCGCTGATGACCTTCTTTGTCTTCTCCATCGTCAACTTCTGGGTCACGCTGGAGGAGTTCGAGTCCTTCATTGACCGCCACAAAGCCACCAACGACTGGAAGGAGTCCTTCAAGCTGATATGGAGCGCACTGATCGACCCGTTTGCGGAAAACGCGACACTCGTGCGCCTCCTGTGCGTGCGCCGCGGCGAGGCGGAGGTGCGGGTGGTGATCGAAGCTGCCAAAGTCAGCGTGGCGATGCTCATCGCGGTCATCTTCTTCTACTACGTCGACAATCAGAGTCTCCTCCTCACCGGCCCGAGCATCATCGCCTTCGTCTCTGGCACGAATCCGGTAGAAGCGGTGCAGGCCGGTGCGGCGCGGATGAGCGGGACGATGATTGGGGCGGTGCTCGGTTTCTTTGCTGCCTCGCTGTGCCACACTGCCGTCGACCGCGTTCTCGCGCTGTGCATTATCACGTTCGTCATGACCTTCTTCCGTCCCGGGCAGAAGTTTGGCACGATCTGCATGTACTGCAACTTCGTCGCCGTGAGCGGTCTCGCGCCGACGGAGCAGACGGCAGACTTGACGATCAGCCGCATTCAACAGAACACCTTTGCCATCTTCATTTACTGCTTTATCAGTGTCGCAGTCTTTCCGGTGAGCCCGAATCACGTCCTCTTTAAGAAACGTATGTCCGTGATGCGCAGTTTGAACAGCACCGTACAGAAACTCTCGTCGCTGTTCGGCGACGCGGCGCGAAGCTACATAGAGATTCGAGCTGAGATCCAGCGCGGTGTCAAGACGGAGGATGACGTCGTGAGCATCGGCCACTTCTTGAATTTGAACGACGGATTTGGCTTGATGCCGCTGCGCAACGGCAACACCGTAGTAAAACTGAAGGGACTGAACAACTCCGAGATGGATACGCCCGCAACGCGGAGCAGCTCGAAGCTGATCATGCCGCGGGCCTTCACCATGGCCCCGCAGGACACTATCGTTGAGGACATCTTCACGGACATCTTTTCGATGATGGAGACGATGAAGCAGACGTCGTCGGTCATGCCGTTAGCGGCGGATGAGTTCCAGATTATTCCGCACGAGTACCCGCTGCGCGCCTCGGGCGACGTGCACGCCGCCCTGTACCGTCTGTGCGCGCTCGTCTACACCATGACCTGTGCGTGGAAGACGATGCGAGAAAAAGGGTACTTCACCACTGACATGCTGCACATCCTACATAATTTGTCACCGATTGTGAACGACATTGCGCGCTGCATTGATCGCTTTACGCATGTCATGGAGTTCTACGTCCGCTTCCCGTCCTCTGGCCTGTCGTCCGAGCTGACGAAAGGGGCCATGCAGTTCCGTGCGCTAGGCGTGGAGCTGAGTGCGCGCAAGGAGCACGATCTGATTGCGGTGATCCGTAAAACCGTTGCGATGAAGCGCATCCGCGATGACCGCTCAGACACCGCCGGCGGGGACCACAACGAAGGAGGAGGAGGAGGAGGAGGCGGAAACGGCTATGGAAGAGACCACGGCGGTGGAGGCGGTGATGGCGGATACTCACCGCAACAGCAGCAGCGGTCGCAACTGGAGGAGTGGGACACTCGATCTAGTCCGAAGCAGCACCGCGGGAAGTGGCGCCACGACCCCGGCCAGCGTAAGGGCAGCCAACGAGGCAAAAAAATGTATCGTCGCGCGGCTTCGAGTGGTCGTCACGACTGTCGAGGGGCGTCGCCCAGTTATGTAACGTCGCCGAGCGATGCCGCCGTGTCAGGGGAGCGCGTGCAGAACTGCGACAACGACCGTCTCAGCCACTCCCAAGTCCGCTCCGCCGCGCCCTTCTTCCACACACTGACCACCCATAAAGAGAGTACACCCAAAACGGGTGATACTGCCTCGACGGCGTCCACCTTCAAGGACAGTGTGATGCCGCGCATCGACAGCCGCGATCCAACGCGGTCGCACATCACCGCGCCAATTCCTGGTGACTCTGCCTGGCTGCCGGTGCCGCGGTCCGAGCTGCCGGCGGTGCCACGGCAAGAAGAGGAGCTGAACGAGGACAGCATCGCGAACACGTCGCCGCGTTCCCGCGTGGACGGCGGGGGCACCGTGACCAACGCGACACGCGTCTTCGACGCCAGCGTCTTTCCGCCGCCGCCGCTGGACGACGGGCAGGCCGCTGCGGTGCGCCGCGCCACACTTGCGGCACGGCTTCCCCCGTCTATGCGGGGAGACACCGTCAACGAGCACGCGGCTGTTCTGAGTGGCAACGCATCCGGAACCACGCCGCCGTCATCCTCGGCATTTGTGAAGGCCGCTCCTACGCAGCTGAATCGAAAGAGCAGCGGCGGCGACGGACCGCAACAGCGATATCCCCACGCGAGCACCACCGCGGCCGCGCTGACGCCCTCGTCGCCCTCCTCCTCACATACACCGCCACACCGCCCCCGTCGCCGCTCGAGCCGGCACCCGCAGCGCCTGGTCGCACACGAGGAGAGCCCCGCGGTGAAGAAGCCGTCCACCCAGCAGCGCGCCGATCAGCTGCGCGAGAACCTGCGCGGCTTCCAGCGTCACGCCACGACGGGCAACATGACCCGCAAGCACAGCAGCTTTGAGATGCGCACCTTCGGTGCGAGCTATACGAACATCGCCACCCTGGACAAGTCCGCCACCTTTACTTCGAACAACTCGGGGCACTATCACTCCGCCCATCCACGCCATCACCCGCATCACGGCTCACCGCACCAGCGCGCAATTGGTCGCAGCCACAGCAGCCTGCATTACGAAGACGAAGAAGAGGATGAAGAAAAGGAAGAGAGTCCAGATGAGGACTCGTCGCATCACCGTCACCGTCGCTGCTCGCGACAGGCGGACACAACAAACAGTGCAGGCCCCGAGAGCAGCCTCCCTTACGGCAGTCGGGAGGGGGATCTCGCGTTGCTGGGGTCGGCCACTCAGTACGACGACACCAACGAGCCGGCTTCTCTCTCCGTGTGGGATCCACGCACAGTGGAAGGAGTACGTCGAGACGGCCCACCGCTCCCTCCTCTCGGCCACAAAGAGGCAAGCGGCGGCAGACGTCACCACTCGCAGGACCGCATCACGCTCCACCAGAGCAGCTCCGATGACGGCGACGAAGGCCACAAGAGTTATGCAAGTGATGCGGAGTCGCTCTCGTCTTCGTACTCCGCATCCTCCTCCTACGCGAGTGATGCAAGTGGTCGCAGTGAGTACGGCAGCGATAGCGGCCGCAGCGACGGTGACAGCAATGCCAATGATGACGGCGGTAGTGGCCGCTCGTCACTGGTGCGCTTCAAGGACAGTTTCACCACGCCCATCATGGTACAGGACGCGGAAGGCCTGCATGCCTTCACCTTGTCGTTGGAGATGTTTGGAAAGGAGCTGCGGCGAGTGCTGTACGGCCTGGAGGAGATGCTGCAGAGTCTGTAGAGGGCAGGAGTGCCGCGCTGCTCGGAAACGCATGTATTACCGTAATCTGCTCCTTTGCTTTTGGAGGGAGTGTGAAGGAGCCGAAGTTTGGTCCGCTATTGCATCTGCGATAAGTGTCATCGCCTTATTATTATTATTAATATTAATAACGTTTCGTTTTTTCTGTTTATTTTCGTTCAAGTAGAAGTTCGCAGGTGCTCTCGTTCTCCTTCCACACTCGTTGCGTCTCCACCAGCAGGGTACGTGTCACCTTCGCAGAATCCCCCGGTTGCTGGTATTGTTTGCTTGTACACTACGGCGTCGTATAATCCTTTTATCGTTCATATTTGTATAATCACCTCGCTACACTAAAGGCATAGATTCGAAACGAAGAGAAAGAAAGAAAAGAAAGTTTCTCTAGTTGTGGGAGGTCTCCACTGCCCGCCGATTTCAGGCGATCAGAGTCACTTCTCCCTCGAAACACAAAGCTGCACTAGCGGCAGTGGAAGTGTTGCTATTGTTTGTTTACTTGTCTGTTTTCTTTCTTTCACCCAAAGCGAACGCGTGAAGCGAAAGCAAGAACTGTAGTAGGCGTTTTTGTTGGTTTTTTTTTGTTGTTGTTGTGTTGACTTCCGCCTCCGCCGTCTTCTCCACCATGAAACGTCACGCCAACTCTTCCTCTCTGTTGTCGCCGTTGTTGTTGCTCTCCCCTCGTACCTGATGTTAAACGTTGTTCCCAATGCGTGGCTGCCGATGCCGTAAACGTTTTATTATTATTATCGGCTGACCTGCGTCACTCGCGGCGCTGTTCTCTGGCTGACGCCACATCCGTGGCTGACCGCTGTGAAAAAAATGCAATTTATCGAAGTTATTTCTCGCCTCTCCACACAACAAAGAAGAACGAAGTACATATATATATATATATATATATCAGACGAAATGCCACCGTTTAGCGGAAAGAAAAAGAAAGAGCAGTTGCAGGCGAAGCGGCAGCGCAAACGCGACGACGAGGAGCGCGCAAACGCGCTGGAGCGGGAGCGTGAAAAGCTGCGTGAGGAACTCGTCAATCACGGAGAGGCGGTGGATGACACGCTGCTGGAGGCGTACATGCAGGAGCGGCACCCGCGTCACCACGACCCAGCCCACGGACGACGGGCCCATCGCCCCGAACGCGAGCAAAACGCCGCGGCAAAAAGCGATGCATCGGACAAGGGCAGGAACGACGGTGCGGGCGCCGACGCCGGTGACGGTGATGGTGCCGCACCGAGCAGGAGCGTGGATACGCTAATGTACAGCGCCGACCACCACCACGGCGTGCGCAGCGTTTTTGCGAAGGAGTCGGCGGCGGTGTTGGCTGCCCGAAAGAAGCTCAGCTATCAGCCGATCCCCTTCCGCACCACGATGCCGGTGACGGGCATCCCGTTCGGCGAGTGGTTCACGTTTCCTTCGAAGGTGGAGTCGTCGGCGTCTGCCAGTTCTGCGCCCGCTCGCACCGGCGAGGACGCGGAGGCGGTGCTGAGTGCCGCGGACAAAGCCGCGCTGGTTGCGGCAGAGCAGGAGCGCAAGCTGGAGCGTCCGCTCGTGGCGACCACCGCCGAGGCGTTGGGTGGCGGAAGTGGCAGTGCGGTCTTTCCGTTTGCGGTGGAACTGCCCTCACGTGGGTGGCACATGCGCAGTGGCGACGAGGGCGACGAACTCCGTGCAGAGGTGGTGGCGGAGTCGAACAGGCTTACTGCCCCTGCAGGTGCGGCGGCGTCTGGCGGGAAGGACGCGAGCTCGCTCAGAGCTGCCGAAAGAGTGACGTCTGACTTGGCAACGGCACAACGACAAGAGGACAGCAGCGCAGCGGGGAAGTCGAGGGATCGAGCAGACACCTCGAGCGACAGGAGCAGCAACAGCAGCAGTGAGAGTGGTGAAGAAAAGGACGACTCGACATGTTCAAACTCCGCACAGGACGATGGCCAGCACGGCACAAACAGCGTCGATGCGGATGCACGACGTGCAGAGGCGCTCCTCATCAAAGGGGTCGAACAAGAACGCTTTGCAGCCTACGTGCGGTGTCTCGATGCCTATCCACTCCCGGAGGAGATTGCAGGCCTGGATATCAGCTCCTATGAACGCAACCTCGAAGTGTGGCAGCAGCTGTGGCGCACCGTGGAACTCAGCGACGTGCTGGTGGTGGTCGCGGATGCGCGGTACCCCATCCTTCACGTCCATCTCGGCCTACTGACCTACATCACGAAGGCTCAACACAAGCCGTGTGTGTTCGTCCTCAACAAGGAGGACCTCGTCCCCGCCTCGGCGTTGCGGTGCTGGCAGCAGTTTCTGTATCGCTACCTAATCGATCTCGGCTTCTCGGTGGAGGCGCCGGAAGGCGAGGAAGGCGCGAGCGAGAAGGGAAAGGATGAAGTGGAGAAGAACTGCGGTCGAATCGTGCTACGGACCTTTACGGCGAACCCTCGACCAGAGACGGCCGGGCAGCGGGACGACGATGTCGATGTCACGCGACGCCAGAAGCACCGCAAAGACACCAACGCGAAGATGTACGAAAAGTTACGCACAGGTAAGTTAAACGCGACGAAGCAGCTGGGCACGCGCCAGCGCAACAAGAGCAGTGGTGGCGATGAGGACAGCAGCGACTCGGACGCCGAGGACGGCGCAGACAGCGACGAACTCCGCTACGGCGCCAGCGAAAACTTTGTCGGGATGCAGGCCGCCGCGCACGCGCTGCAGCACGACCGTCGTGCCTACAAAGAGCTGGAAATTGTGGCAAGGAAGATTACGGAGCTGCTGGCGCTGTGCCGACGCCTTGGAGCAGAAGGGCGTGTGGCACGCGGAGGTGCAGCAGCAACTCCGACCACCGCTATCGACAGCTACGCCACGTCTGCCCTCCCCTGTCCCGCACCGCGAGCCGCACGAAAGAACAAAAAGGCACAGAAACGCGGTGATGCTCGTCGAGGCAAAAACAAAGGCAATGCCGGCGGTGGTGGAAGCGGTGGTGCGAAGTCGGAGGAGGGAGAGGGGGAGGAGGAGGATGCGATGAGCGACGCTGAGGAAGACCGCGCTCCCGACAGCCCGAGTTACGTACACATCGGTTTTATCGGCCACCCGAACGTGGGGAAGTCATCTTTGCTAAACTGCATTCGCGGGACGAAGGTGGTGTCCGTCAGCGCCACGCCAGGGCACACGAAGCACATCCAAACCATTCCCGTGCCGGCGGAGAAGCTGACCTTGGTGGACAGCCCGGGTCTCGCGCTGCCTGTCTTTGGCGTGCCGCGTCCGCTGCAGGCGGTGTTGGGCACCCACCAAATCGCCCAGACCCGCGATCCGCAGAGCGGCGTGAGTTTCCTCGCGGCCTACCTGCCGATTGAAAAACTTTACGGCCTGCACCGGCCCGACGACGCGATGACGGAAGACGAATGGAGCTCCTACGAACTGTGCGAGGCCTATGCAAAGAAGCGCGGCTACTACGTGAAGCACGGCAAAGGGGCGCTGGATATCCACCGCGCCGCCATTGCGATTCTGCAGGAGGCCTACGAAGGTCGCCTGGGGCTTTTTTACGCGCCGCCGGAGTTGAACCTGCTGCAGTCTGCGTGGTACCGCACACGCATCCGCCCACATCTGCTGTTGACGGTGTTCGGGCCGTCTCTTCAATGAGTCTGGAAACGGGAAAAAGGAAAAGGTCTGCACGTGGGTTTTTTCTTTTTTTCCACTCCTCACTTCGACGGTAAATATGCCTTTTGCGTTTTTCGTTTTCACATGTGCTGAACGATCGTGTGGTGCGAGGAACGTCTGTGTTCTTTGTGGGGGATAGGGGGAGAGCAAGGGGAGGCGTTTTGTTTACGCCCCTGCAGCCCTCGAAGGGGAAAACCCCACTTTGGAAAACGCGCTGAAGAACGTACTGCAGGGCATGAAGGCTCTACGTGTGAACTGCTCGCGTAGTGACTATGTCATGTGCCGCCGCTTGTTGCGTCGGATGCGTTGTTTTTCTTCCACGGACGTTGCGTCAGCGCCGACGCCCCACCCCGTGGTGTCGAAAGGAAGGATATTTGCCTTCACCAACGTCTGTTCTCTGCTGCGTATCTCCTGGCCTTGGAGCTCTAGATTCACGCACTCTCTCCTCTTAATACTTCCCTTTTCACCTTCTTTGGGCCTCGCCTGACACGTGCATGCGTGTCCTGACTTTCACCGTCTTTCATCTCCTCCACATAAAACAACAGAGAACAAGCGAAGAACGAAGCGGCTTGCTATTGCCCCACGTCTCATCAACATATCTCGTAGGAAGTCTCACACACAACCTCTACATCTCCAGTGCCCTCCTCTATCTCTTTCACACAGACACAGACAGACACGCACACGACCTGCGACAATGAGCTCTACAGTCGACAAGTACACCTTCAAGGACGACTACGTTAGCCCGCGCGGCATCCCCAAGGTCGCCTTCGTGGAGAACGTGGCCGAACTCGTCAAGTCCAGCGGCGACAGCGCGGAGACGCTGCTGAAGCGCTTCAGCGAACAGTACAGCAAGTACAAATTGGCCGAGCACCGCCTCATCCGCACCATCGCGAACCTCGAGGCAAAGATCCCTGACATCAAGAAGACCCTGCAGACGCTGGCCTACTTGAAGAAGTCGCTCGTAGAGGAAGACGGTGGGGAGGGCTTCACCACCAACTACGGCCTGACGGAGAGCGTGTTCTGTCAGGCAAAGGTGGCGCCGCAGAGGACAGTGCACGTGTGGCTCGGGGCGAACGTGATGGTGGAGTACTCCTTTGACGAGGCGACGCAGCTGCTGGAGAAAAACCTGAAGAGTGCGACGGAAAACCTGGCCGCTACGCAAGAGGATCTCTCCTGGTTGCAGGAGCAGCAGACGATTTTGGAGGTGAACACGTCGCGTCTGTACAACTACGATGTGGTGGAGCGCCGCAAGAAGTCCGAGGCGGAGGGCACGCAGTAAGAACTAAAAAAAAAGAATAAGTGAAAGACGGAGACGAAGAGATGAGGAGAGAGGCGCACACATACACACACACATTTCTCTCTGCTCTTCTGAGAGAAGCCTATAAAGGAAGGAAGCCGGTAGCGCAGGTGCACCCTCTTAATAAAAGGGAGGGAGGGAAACGAAGTGCTGAAGCACTGCACAGACCCCGTCGAAGCACGCTGGACACATGGAGGAAGAGCCAAAGTGGTCTACTCACGGATGCGCTTCTTCTTCTTTCCTGCTTTCCTTTTTCTTCTCCCTCTTTGTCCTCAATGGCCATGGTCGACGCTGTATGGAACCTGTTTGGGTGTTTGAATGTTATGATTAATTGGTCACCTAAGCGAAGGAAAGGACCCGCGTATGTGTGTGTGTTTGTGTGCTTCGCATTTTCCTTCTAAAAATGCGTATGAATGAACCAGTATTCCGTTGAACCGCCGGAGAGCGAGAATCAAAGGAGCAGCGTAAGCTGCGCCTCTCTTCTTATTTTCGTGGGCACTCTGACTCTTCGAGGGAGGCGAGGCGACCACGGCTTTTGACCTCCGTACTTGGCTCTCATTCTAGCCGCATCGGTGCGACGCTGAGGACTGTTAACAGAGGAGAGTAACGGAACGCAGCAGACTCCTCGTAAAATGTGTACTCACCCCACTGGAGAATTTGTCGACGGACTTCCGTTATCCAATCAACACACCCGTCTTCCAGCGTCTGGAAGGTCTACTCCATATTTGTTGTTTTCTTCAACTGTAAACGGAACCACGATGTATCGCAACTGTTCACACCTTTTCCTTTTTGCATTCTTGTCTTTTCATTCCCGCTCGGTATTTCACGAAAAAAAAATAATAACAAGGCCAGATACCGCCAAACACCGCTGTCGCTTTTAATTATTCACGTCTACTACGGTACGCCGGCAAGAACTACACGAAAAAAAAAAATGCTTGTACACGTGGCCAAAACTGTCGTCACCAGCGGACTGCGTAGTCGTCGTCTACACGCCGTGACGTGTCGCTCGTTGCCCTTCCTTGTCGAACGATGTGTTGTGCAGCGACGAGGGCGTTGCACGACGACAACGCGGCCGTCGCGCTGCTCTTCTCCAGCTCACACAAACCGACCGTTCACTCCGGAGAACGAGGAGAAGAAATTCTCAACGAAGATGTTAGCAGCAGCAGCAGCATCATCAGCAGAAACCTCTACAAGTGCGGACATCGTTGACCAGACGGCACCGCAGTGCGAGAAGGTTCTGCGCGATTGCACGGACAACGGAGAGGAATACAACGCCGATACCCCAGGCGTTGTGGATCTGGTGAAGCAACTTCAGCAATTAGCAGCACGTCGCGGCCATCACTCATCTTCTAGAGACGGCTGCACAACGTCTGAAGGCAGTGCTGATGCCCTGGTGGACCTCATGATGACCGATGAATCGGTCATCGATCACGTTCTCCCGCACCGTACAGCTCCGGAAAGCACGGTCAGTGGATCTGAGCAGCCGGCGTGGGAAGCGGGACTGCAGCTGGCTGAGAGATCTCTGTGGAGCGCCAAGGTGGCGGAGTGGCTTCTCTTTCTGTGTCTACGGAGCCAGGACGCTGCGTCAGCGGCCCCAGCACCGTTGGAAGTTTGTGAGGGAGTCTACCGAGCGTGGAGGCAGCGGCGCAACACAACGGCAGCAGCAGCATCAGCAGAAATGGAGCATAGCATCGTTCAGGGCACAGAAGATGTAAATGAGGAAGACAAACACGCAGATGCAGCCGTTTCGCTCCGTTCTCCCTTCGAGCCAAAGGGCGTGCATCACCACTACGCCGCGTGGCTTTTGAAGGAGTTCCACTCGACACAGCGGTTTGCGGAACAAGTACGTGCTGCTCATGGTGATTCTGCGTACCGTGAAGCAGACGTGTGCGCCGATGGCGGTGGTGGGGCGCGGCAAAGAAAACCTGCAGACGCCTCTCCTCGTGAGTTTAGTGAAGCTGAGGCGGTGCATCATGCCCATGTCTTGATAAACCGTGCGCTGGAAGTACTCCTACTCGAACTTCCACAAGATGCAGCGGTGGCCTTTCCGTTGGCTGGCGCAGCGTCATCAGGACGCCATCGCCGCCAGCGCACGCTTTCCGCACTGCGGCCCACCACTGCTCTGCTGGTGTTGGAGGCATCACGGCAGCTGGCACAGCTTGCGGCCCACCATCATCAGCACCAGCACCGTCATCCGCTACGGAACTACACGGCTGCCTTTCCTCTCCTCGCATTTCTCACCACTTCACCGCCGTCTTCTGTTGCTGCTCCACCAGACGTCAAGGTGTGCAACGCGCTGGCAAAAGCGACCCCGCTTGCGGATGTCGCTCGCGCAGCGTTTGAACTTGTGATACGCACGGCGCCTCCTCCACGTGGCATGTCAACGATGGGTGTGTCCGCGCCACATGCCGTTCAAAGCGATGCGGTCATGCTGTATCTCGGCTTCCTCATGGCCTCCGCATCCTCGCAGAGGCGAACCACTGACGGGATAAACCGTGTTGTGCGCGAGGGGTCGGCAACGGCACGTCAATTATCTCGACACAGCGGAGACCACTCCGTTTTTGAAACGGAGCCTCGAAATCGTAGCGCTCTTTTGCCTGTAGAGGACCGCGTTACAGAGACCGTCGCCGCCGCGGTGCGTACGCTGCTCTCCTCATACCTCAGTGACAACGCTCCGTCAACTCCGAAGACGCCGACTGCGTGGGCAGCGGAAAGAAGCTCTACGCGTCAAGCCGTGATGAAGGCATTTGCTGGCCTTCTTCCTCAACCCACTCCTGCCAATCTCTGGTCAGTCTTTACGCTGCCAAGTAATGAGGACGCATCGCTGGAGCAGCGGTATACGAGCCCGAATTTCACGCAACGGCAGAAACACACGCGACCAGTCTCGTGGTGTGCGTGGCTGCTTCGTGTGCTTTTGTGCGACCTGGAGCGATCAGGGCAGGCGTCGACCGGACAGCAACGAAACACTCCGCACAGTAGCAATAGCAGTATTACTGTATCGATCACGGAAGCTGATTCGACGGAGGTGTGGAAGCGTCGGTCGGACTGGATCATGTTTATGACTACACAGATGATGATGCAGCTGCGACAGCAGTACATATCCGCACCCCTTCAATCACCGCATCGTCTGACGCGCTCGACCGCCGTCGCTGTGCATCGCCCTTTGCAAGAGGTGTGGCATCTCATCTTTCAAGCCGCCTTACAAGGATATTTTCTCTACGTCCCGTGCGCAGAGAGTGCGGCCTCCGTGCCCTCTCTGCAGGCGTTTCGCTCCCCGCAGCGCCCACAACGACGACCGTATCACAGTCCTGGTGCGACGGCCCACGATGCACCGCCCATTCTTCTTCAGCTGTGCTACCCGTATTACGACAAAACGCAGTGGCGCGGCCCCTCCGTGAACCTGTACGTGCGCTTACTAGATCAGTGGGGTCAGGGCGAGCACATACGGCAGGTGTTTGCAGCCGTGGCACGGCGTGAGAGCGACTCGCAAGCCGAAGTGCAGGCAGCAGTGGCAGCGGAGCAGAGAAGAGAAAGTGGGCAGGCACCGCAGAGCGCTTCGATAGAGCATAACGAGGCCGCTGCGAACCGCATTGATCGTGCTTTCCGGCGGTACCGCCCCGCGCTTCACCTTCATACGTGTCTCACTACGTTGAAGTACTGTGGCTGTTCTGTGAAGGCCCTGTCAGCGCTGAACTCCGTGGATGGTGGACGTGCAGGCCGTCGATCGCACGACGAGGAGCTCAACGAGGAGAATGTCAACGCCTCTTGTCACCGCAGCGGCTCTCAAGCGGCCGCCGATGCGCGACTGGCAGGCGAAGTAGTGCGATACATATTATGCTCCCTGCACGTGATGGAGCGCAACGCCAAGCACACGGCCCTGCGCCACAACCCGGTTGATCCAACGGTGGACGGTGAGGACGAAACCGACGCAGGCGCGACGACGATGCTGATCACAGAGGGCTACCCGCTGGCACAGTGGGTCAAGTGGGTAGGAGACTGGTGCGTGCCCGCTGTGGAGCAGCTCTATCGAAACGCCGGCTTAGAGGACGAGTGGGCTGCGCTTGGGTACTGAGCACAAGGAGGGCAGGGGCAATGTCAGAGAAGGCTGAGGTAGACGTGAATCTAAGTAAAAGAAAGGCATTGGTGTGTTCGCTGCGATGCATTTTGATTGGTGTTTTCAGAAGGGGGTTTTCTCGTTCACAGACTGAAAAAGAAAGGTTTTGTTGTTGCTGTGCACTCACATGAATACCGCGTAATTCTCACGCGGCCAACGATACTCACACATACATGTTTCATCGCACTGGCAAAGAACGAAACGCGGCAACTCTCACTCCGCTGTTGTCAGCTTCCTCCGTTCTGCTTTCCAGAGCGATTCTTCGCGTATGAGGAAAGGCGCACCGCGGCAAGACGGCTGTGCTGTTTCGTGTCATTTTATTTTGTTTGTTTCGTTGGTCTATCTTCTAATCGTTTTTTTGCAATGCGCTCCCGGTTGTCTGGCCGGGGCGCGGTACGAGGTTCGCTACGACGGCAGCGGCGGCACAGTTCTCGCATTCCACCTCTCCGATCCACGTCTGCGTTTCACTGCCAGTTGCGGTTGCAGGGTGCTCAACTCCCTCGTTTTCCAACAACGAAACGAAAAACTACCGTATATTAATCTAAACACCATCGCCTCCTTCCAGCGACCTCTTCGGCACGAAATCACCGAAAGGAAAAGAAAGAAGCCCACATAAGTGTATCTACATTGGCCGCACAGAACTGTTCCTAGCAGCTGCCGACACGGTCCTCAAAACAGGCAGCGCGTGGAAGAAATATTCCTTTATTTATTTCCATAAAGATAAATCCGCCTTTTACCATGTCCGATGTGTGGCGTTGTGAACAGTGCCAAAAAATGAAGGACCTCAACGGGCCCCACCTCAATGGCAGGAGCAGCGTGCGCTCCGACTGCTGGCCGTGTGCGAAGAAGACAACGTTTGTGAGATGTGGTGCAGACGGCACGACAGCGGCAGCGACCACGGCCACGCCAACTTCAACGCCGGGCGTCACCGCGCTTCCTGTGTCCATCGCCGTCACGCCATCGGACGAGGCGCAGGCTGCCGCTTTTCAAAACATTTATGCCGCAGCCACCGCTGCAGCAGCAACAGCCCAAACCGCAGCCAACACCGCCACCACAACAGCGAAAAGCTCTCTTGTTTTTCCTTTACATACCACTCATCACAACGGTAATCCAATTAGTCATCAGAGCAGCAGCAGCAACGCAGTCGCCACCCACTTCGGTACCTCCCGCACGCCCCTCAACCCGTTCTTCACCCCTGCCGTGTCGGCCGCCTCCATCAAGAAGTTTCAGGTCAGCTACGCCAACGTGATGACGGCGAAGCACGAGGACCCGACACACGCGCCGGCGGCTACGACGGCCGCCTTGGGAGCAGGCAAAAGCGCGACGGCGTCCGCTTCCGCAGCCCTTTCTCCCCAGTCCTCGTCTCCATGTGTAATGGAGTCCTCCGCGGGCACCTCACCGCCGTTTACCTTCCGCCCCAACGCGAATTACATCCCCGCTGCCTCTTCTGGGAGTGTCTGGTCGACAGCGACTTTGTTGCCGGGCAGCACGGCAGCCGCGACCACCACCTCGGCCAGCCGCGCCCTTTCCCCTTCGATGTCGTTGATGCCTGTGGACGCAGCTGCGGCACCAAATGTGTTTGCCAAACACGCGGAGGTGATGCCGTCGTCTGCCATCACGGATGCTGGCTCTGGTGCGGCTCCCACCGTAGCACGAGCGACCACGCACGGCGCCGCTGCGGCGGCCTCTTCTTCCGCCTCGCTGTGGGTGTGTGACCACTGCCATAAGGCAAAGGACTTAAAAGGCGATCACCTCCGCGGTAAGGCGACGGTGCGGTCGGACTGCTGGCCGTGCGGAAAGAAGCGGACCTTTGTCCTGAGAGCACCGAGTGCGATGGCAGCGACGACTGGACCGTTGAAGCTCGGTGGAGGTGGCGGGTCGCGGACCGCATCGGCCGCCTCCGCCGTCTCCGTACCAACAGCAGCGTCTTCTGCTGCTGCTTCTTCCTCCGTGCCCGTCAATCCGTTCATCACCCCTCCGATGCTCGGCACGTCACCCAGGGTGAACAGCACAAACGTCGCCACCGTCACAACGAGTGCGCTCGCAGGCGCAGTAGCACCATCCGGAAGTGTGTCCATGCCTCTCTTGTGGGTGCTCCCTGCCATTCCTTCGAGCCCACACATGGAGGAGTCCTGCTGCCTGTCTACGGCGTTGCCGCATGCAGTGTTACCGGCTTCCTTCTTCGGCACTACTCCTGCAGCGGCGGCAACCACCAATGCCACCACCATCAGCAACCTCAACGGCAGCGCAGCTTCTCTAGCCTCGTCGTCAGCGGCCTGGATCGTTGGTGCGACCACTGCCTCCACCGCTGCTGGAGGGAGAGACAGCGAAGCCAACATCGCGACTTACTACGCCGCCATGGCGCGATTTGATCAGCAGCTGCTGAAGAGCTTCCGTGAGCGCTTGGTCGGCGGAACACAGCTACGCGCGGTGTGGTCCGACCGTGTGCTGTACGTTATTGCTGAGGATAACTCTGCGGACGCAGCCGCAGCAACGACGGCGACAGGTTTTGCGACCTCTTCGAGCGGGACGCGGCAGGCGCCGGACGACTTGGTTGGTGCGTTTGCAGAGCTGGGTCGCTACGCCGCGCTGTACCTGGCCGTGGAGCAGAAACTGGCGGCGTCGCGCTTTCGTCACATTGGCCGGCTCTTCTGCCCAAACGAGTTTGCCTTCGCCGCGGCGTGCTGCTACGCGAACAACTTCTTCGCGGCGGAGACGGCAGCGTCAGCCGCCACGCTGTTGCCCCCGCCATCGACGGCTACTTCGAAGTTTAAGGTGTACGGACCGCAGACGGACCCAACCAAGTCGCTCTCGCTGTGGGGCCGCGTCGTCGCCGAGTCGCCCGTCGCCCACCGCTGCGTTGTGAGCGAGGAGCAGCGCGTGGTGGCCGCGCAGACGCTCTACCGCCGTGTGAGCTGGCTGGCCGCCCCGCAAACCATGACGGCGACTGCCATTCAACTCAGCGTGGAGACGGAGTCGACAGCGGATGAACACGGGGTCGACGTGGTGCTGCTGACGGGAACGATGAAACTGGAGGAGCTCCCGCAGGCGGTCCCGCTCGCGCAGCTTCCACACCCGTACGCGTAAAAGCAGCAACAAGACGAAGAAGAAAAAAAGAAGGAGGGCGAGGACGATGCTCGTGGACTGAATTGGCGGTGGAGTCGTCCGCGGCGTGTATGCAGCGTCCGAGCACGGTATGCTGAGTCAAATAGGGTAGAAGCAAACACGCACACAAAAGCATCGTTTCAGTGCGAAACGGATGCGATCGTCTGACAATTCGTCTCGATTTAACTGGATCTTTTTTTTTCCAAAGTGCTAACGTTCTTCTCATAACATATTGATGCTGAGTTCCAAAAAAGAATTACTCCCCATGATTTGAATGTCACGCTTAGTGTGCTATCCCCTATGCAGTCGATGGCGAACACGTGAGTTTTGCTTTCTTATCATGGCCCTTCTGTTCTCTTTGTGATGGGCGTGGCGGCAGTTGTACGAACTCTCCTCGGTTTTGCCTGCGCCCATACCGGCAACAGCAAAAACAAAAATGATCGTAAAAGGCACTGCAAATGTCATGCATTCTGTCTCTCGTTCGCACACGACGTGATGTATGTATGTCATCTCCCCCATATAATGGTTCTTTTTTTTTTGTTTTTCTTCACCATCTTCCTTCGCATCTCTCGATCTTCTAACCTTTTGCGAATGCTTTCTCTCCTCTCTTCTCCCTTCATTCCAGCACGGATTGTATTCTGTGGTACCTGTTCTTCTGGTACGTCTCTCCTGCTATCACAGTTTGTGTGATCGACACTCACACACTCACACACACACACACACCGTCTCGCACTTCAATTCGTGCTCGAGGTAGAGTAAAAGAACAAGCGGAAGAAGGAAGCTCTAGTGTCCCCCCTTTTTTTTTGCAGTGCTGCGCCTCTTCCTTTTTGTTTTCTTTTCTCTTGTTCATAACGAAACAGGATTCATCAGCAAGAGCCATCTAGCTTGTCCTTGTACTCTACAAAGAAGAGACATGGGAGCGGGCGGTAGTTCCAACCGAAAGATCGGCACAGGTGACGCGGCGCATGGCAACCATAGCGCCGCCGCCGCCTCCGCCGCCGGTGCGAGGAAGGAATCAGCGTCGGAAGCCGCCGCCGCCGCAGTGGCAGCAGACTCCCCGGTGAAGCGGGGTGCCGCCCTTCGCGTCATTGAGCGGCACCTCAAACCCGGCGAGACACTTTCCGGTGGGGTGGGTGGTGTAGTGGAGGGCGTCAACGACTCTCGCGGCGATGCCGCCGGGGGAGTCCCGCCACCCCCGCCGGAAGCGAATGCGGAGGGCACGCTCTTCGGCTGGTTCGTGGAGGACCTCGATCGGCCGGGGACGTGGGAGCCGTACAACAAGGAGTCGGCCGATCGCTTAGAGGACGCCTTTCTGCACCTGCGAGACACATGCGCCGTGGTGATGAAGAAGCGGACCTACACGGTGAGCTTGACCAAGATGCAGCAGCTGTCGTCTGTCGGCGGCGCCGTGACCGCAGCGATCAGCGGTGCTGCGAGTCGCACCCGTGAAGTGAAGCGAGTGCCGGTGGTGCAGTACGCCGATCCCGTCACAGGCGAGATGAAAGTGAAGGAAGCTTCGCTGAACATGGTGGACCCCTTCGCGGAGGACGAGGAGGAGCAGGAAGGCAGTGGTCTCGACGCAGGTCAAGCGATCGCGCAAGGCGCCGGCGACACCGTCGGCTTCGCTGCCGCCGCCGCCTCTCCGGTTCCGCTGTACGAAGGCAGCGCCCCGGTTTGGGGCCGACTGCCGCACCTCATTCGCACCGTTATCCCGCACACCGCGCCAATTTATACAATGGAGATGACCTCGAATTTGGAGCTGCTGTGTCCGGAGGCCCGCGCCGTCGCGGAGCCGGCTGGTGGGGCGCTGGTTCTGTCCAGTGGGAAGGATCGTCAGCTACTGGAATGGAGTCTCGACACGGCACGTGTGGTGACCACGTACGAGCTGCCCCAGATCACCGACAAGCACTCCGTGCTCACCGCCACGTACTCCGTGACCGGGAAGTGGATGATTGCCGGGCTCGACGACCGGACCGCGCGTTTGTACGCCATCGGCAACCCAAACGAGATCCACCAGCTGAAGGGGCACACGCACAAGGTCTACGGAGCGGGAATTCTCGCAGGCGATCTGCAGGCCGTCACGGCGAGCATGGACTGTCGGGTGAAGGTGTGGGACATCCCGACCGGCATGTGCGTGCACACCTTCATCCCGCACAAGTCCCACATTTTCGCCCTGCGGCCACACCCGGTCGACGCGAACTTCGCCCTGACGGCGGGCGAGGACCGCAACGTCTGTCTGCACGACTTTCGGCAGGGAAACTCTGTCGTTGGCATTTTTACCGGTCACGATCGCACTGTGTGGGACTTGGACTGGAATCCAGTGGATGGCACCTTCGCCTCCTGCGGCATGGACAGCACCGTCCGCATCTACGACCCCCGCGCGAGCACCACCGCCATGACGACGCTGCACAGTCACACACGAGCGGTGCACAGCCTCAAGTACACGCCGGCGGGTCGAGGTCTGCTGACGTGCAGTAAGGACTTTCTTGTAAACTTGACCGGCACAAATGACTGGCGCGTGCGGTGGGAGGCGAAAGCGCACGCCACGACCGTCTTTCGCGTGCGCTACCACGCCGAAAAGGAGGTGATGCTGACGGCTGCCTCCGACTCGAGTGTGAACGTGTGGAGTTGGAAAGCGGTGAATCAACTGTAAAGGGAATAAATATATAGTGGCCCTCAGCAGAGCAACAACCAGCGAGAACAGTGGTGATGATGCAACGACACTGTTGTCTTTCCACCGTTTGTGCGTGTGCGGGTTTTTGTTTTCGTTTTTGTACCTTTCGTAGGGTTCTGTAGACCATATATATATTATCTTTATGGAATAGACTGATCGCGATCGACTGCTTGATTTTATTCTCCTATCTTTTCGCTTTTCTTTTCACTTTTCTCCTCGCTTCTTTTTTTTTCTGTAAGAAAAGTGTTCCTCCTGATGGAGCACGCACGCGTGAGAAGCTGCCAACGCTGTAGGGCGGTGATGTGCAGCTGTCGTATTCCGTCTTTGCTGATTTGTTGTTGCACAGATTTTTGTTATTGTTGTTTTCTCATGTATTCGTTCACCTTGCGAAGGAGAGGGAGAGATCCAAAGCCCTCCCCCCTCCCTCCTCCTCTACCTCCCTTTTTCCGTTTAGTTTGATTCTTTTGTTTGTTCTCCCCATAGATCGTAGCGGAGAAAAAATAATCCGACGAGAGGGGTTCTTCTAAGTTGTGTGTGGTTTCTTCACCGGTGGAGGAACCTCAAGGATAGATCTCACATAATACTTTGGGGATTCGTGTGGGGCCGCACAACTGCGTTATCCTTTGTCACCGCCGCCTGTTCATCCTATCTCTCCCTCTCTTTCATGCTTTTCCCTTTCTTGTTGTTGTGCTTATCACGCTCGTTGGCTGCAGACGAGCTGCTACATGCCAACGCGTCGTGCACATCTCTTCTAATATATATATATATATCTATGTGTATATGAGAATGTATATGTGTTTATTATAAGTGCTTGTTTGAATCGAAGTGTTTTTTTTTCTCTTTTTCTTGCTCCTTGTCGTGGACGATCGTGAGGAGTCCAGTTATGAAAATGGAAATGTTGGAGATATCTGTGAAGTCTGTACTGTCGGATATTTACTCATCTGTCCCTATTGACCACTTTAGACGCGTGCTCTTGAC